CATGGACTAGCTGTAGATTTTCTCATGGTTCCAGTTGCTGATTTATAGGAGATATATCTCAGAGAACGATGGACGGGTTGAGTACTAGTATGGCCCCGGAGGGGCCGGACAAATTCGATTTTTGTAGTATTTACACTCGGATTTTACGGTAAAACATGCCATCTGTCCCTCACTAGCTGCTTTGTTCCTACTTCAGGGCTCTGAGGGTGATTTGTGGAGCATAGGCCCGAGAGTAATGCAGATTTCGGTCCCAAGGGCCTCGAAGCCACAACTGCCCATGTGCGCCACATGGCTCTCTGAGCCAATCCCATTTTTTCTTTTTCTTTTTCTTTTTATTTTCTTTTATTGCAACTCTATCATTATCGAGCCCATCGAACTGCAAACGGCTGTACAGCCGTTTTCCGAACGTAAGGCGCGGCGTGACTTTTCGCACGCCAAATGGCCTTCGGGCAAGAAAAATCTGTAGCAGTCGCATTCGGGCTCGGATGGTGCTTTGAATCTGTATATAGGTGTTTGAGGACAAACATGGCATTGAAAGAACGACGAAATTCGGTGCAGGGGTGCTGTCTACAGGAGGGGTAGCAAGCATGTACCAATCCAGGAGTATTCAGGCTGTCAATTAGGGAACAGATACCCTACCACCCTGGTACTTGGCACACATAATCTACAGCATGGTACAAACATGTCTAAAATTTGCTGGACCCATGCGTCTTGCTACTCCTCCTAAGGAGTGAATTTCTTGTACATGCTCTCTAAAATCAAATATAGTGTCTAAATTTATGATATATATTCTGAATCTGTGTATATATGTCCCTCTTTTAGCTCCAATACTCAGAAAAGTGTTCTGTTACTGCATTACGAAATGGCAGCCCTTGAGCTCTGGCCGAGCATTGACCGAGGCGCGCTGACGCGGTCGTGAGAACTCATTTGTCGCGTGACGTCACGCGCGTCGCACCTGCGTCGGGTACAGGTCGGGGATCATTCAGTACACGACAGAAAATAAACAGCTGTCCGGTTGGGTGTATAAGTACAGTGCCACACTGAGTATACTGAAGAGAGTCAGTTGGCATACTTATCATAAATTTAGACACTGTATTTGATTTTAGAGAGCATGCACAAGAAAATCACTCCTTAGGAGGAGTAGCAAGCTTCCCCTTCAGTCCCGGCTAGACGCATGGGTCCAGCAAATTTTAGACATGTTTGTACTAGTTTATGAGTACCAAGTACCAGGGTGGTAGGATATCTGTTCCCTAATTGACAGCCTGAATACTCCTGGATTGGTACATGCTTGCTACCCCTCCTGTAGACAGCACCCCTGCACCGAATTTCGTCGTTCTTTCAATGCCATGTTTGTCCTCAAACACCTATATACAGATTCAAAGAACCATCCGAGCCCGAATGCGGCTGCTACAGATTTTTCTTGCCCGAAGGCCATTTGGCGTGCGAAAAGTCACGCCGCGCCTTACGTTCGGAAAACGGTAACCACTGCAGAATGTGGCCACCACTCGACGCACCAGTTTAGCACGCGCGTCGCGCAAATGTTAGTGGTTCGTCGAGGCCATATTGTCTACAGTACGGAAGATAGTCGATGCAGCCAACGATATGACCAAGTCGGCGGATGACGTTCTCGCCAAGTTGACGGAGGTTTCTGGTGTCAAAGTGCCATAATGAGCCTAGTAACCGTAGGTGAAAGCAGATAGTCATTGATATCACACTCCGAATGCTAACTGCTATCCAATAGCAGTCAGCATTCGAAGTCGCCCTCTCATCGACTTGCCTTCTACGCCCCTATCTGGCACGAGCTCCCTTAGGATGGTGAGCGAGGGAAGCGAGAGAAGCTGGGCATGCCGTATGAAGCCTCTATATGTTTCCATGATTATGCACCTGTAAATTAGTTTCAACTGCCCTAGACATTTTCCCGTCACATGCGCATAGACAAAATATATGTTCAACAATACCGGTCATGAAGCACACGAAGCACTTAATCCAAGCCTGATCGTCGTTCCTCAGATATCGATGAGATTAAAATGCGTGGTTACGTGCACATCTGATACTAAGGTAGTCCGTAGAGAGCGAATGACTGCAACAACTGCAAAAATAAAGTCCTGAGTTTCCAATCGCTATCCGGGAGTTAAGTTCATCATGACCATGAATTTCCACTAGTTCGTAGCATCCGTGATGATGACACCGGCCTCAACGCCACCGACGGAGTAGTAGGGGCTGCCGTCAGTGCCGTTAGACGCGAAGGTCACGTCCATGACAATGTCGTAGTTCGCGTCCTTGAAGTAGTACGCGTGAGGGATCTGGGAAGGACGTAAGACTCGGTTCTTCAGCATAGAGACACCTGGGCAGAATCACCTGAACTGTGAACGAGTCCGACGTAGCGCCCGCAGCAGGCTCACGACGAGCGAGCAGAATGGGGGGCTCGTTGCCGTTATTGTTCGTGGGGACCTCGATGTAGTAGTCGGTGTATTTGGGGATGTGGCCGTAGTACTCGACTGCACATCTGAAGTCCGCATCAATCTGGACGGTCTATTGTCGAGAAAGTGCCGTGAGTAGGTTTCACCAGAGTGAATAGGAAATTCTATGTACATCACCCGAGGCAAAGGTGCTAGGGGAGACGGTGACGCCACCGAATTTCTGCGCCTCGAAGCATTGCAGCGCAGGAGCAGCGCTCGCGATGGCGAGGAGAGACGAAACAAGGGTAGCGGCGAAGAACTTCATGATGTACTGGTAGCTGAGCGGAAGGAGAGAACTGGATTAAGGGCTGGAGAGAGAGACTGAATGGTAGGATGCTGTTCAGCTCCAGCCGTTCGTGATTTTATATGGTAGAGCTGGGGCGGTGCCCAACGTCGGGACGGGCTGCAGTCACCGTGCCCTCAATGACCAGTGCCAGAATAGTTTGCCGAACCTCAAGGACTTAAGATTAGTCAAACGGACCACACACACCTGTATTGAGTCCGTTGTTCGTTTTGATCGCAGATCAGAGAATACGCCAGCTAGGATCATGAAGACGGCTTGGACATGGCCCTGGTGCTGGAAGGGTAGATACCCCGTGGTAGCCCTGATCTACCATGCTCGAACCTCCCACCTGAATATTGTACCTCGTCGTTGACTGTTCCCGCCCCTCCTTCATCTGGCAATCAGAACATATTACGTCGTCCTATGACCTGGCAATGAACAACATATACTTTTGTCCGTAAAATCCAATTCATTCGGGCTTCGGAGAGTTACCGACGGCCCAGGGATCGACGGCTCGACGTGCGAAGGCGACCATAAGTATGTCGACCACCGGGACTCTTGTGGCGGTCACGGGCAGTGCAGTGATTGGCGAGGAAGCTTTCCTGGTTACGGTATTTGGAAGGTCTCCTTCCATACATGGATGCGCTGTAGCTAGGTCGAAACGCCACCAATGTGGACCGTCGTCAGCAATCACTTCATTAATCAAAGACTATAGCTTACATATATACTAGCACGCAGCACGGCATGCAAACCGGCGGTGAGGTGCCCATGTAATCTGTACGAACCTTTAGGGACCGGACGAGTCACGAGGCAGCCTGAAGACATTGAAGGCCAAAAATTTCGCTGATGGCCTTACACGACCATCCTACTGTTGGTGCTCAATTTTGAACCGACACTCATCGTTCACGTCGTCTTTCAATCCGTCGTGCTAAAAGAGGCAGGCAAGAAGCTGCAAGTGCCATCGCAATTATGGTTTTCTTTACCCAAACGCCATCCGCGTGCCAACTAAGCCCAACTCCTCTTTCTCATTGTTTTTAGCACAACGAGTTTAACAACCAGATGAGCGACGGAAGGTGGTCTAATATTTGGCCCCCCTACTAAAATACGTACCTGGAACACGACAAGAGGTCCCCCGAGCCCTTCCTCGTTGCGGGCGTCCCTAGACCTCAAGCAATGAGGCCGAAGGGACACCATTCGCATTATAGAACACCTGCTTCCCAAGCTTCTCAGTCAGAAACCTAAAACGCAGTCGCTTACCCGGCATGCGTGCACTGCTTCGTCCACTGGCATCGTACGGCCTTGACTGGGTGTAGGGTGAAAGCAGCCAAAGAAATTGTATGAACGGCATCAGAGCCCCGGGAACCCCGTTGTACCCGCGAGGCATCCCTAATGTATGACCGACATTCGGTAAATGCAAAGAATAAAGAGGAGAAGACAGTACACCTGATTCGGCGCAACGTCATCCCTCAGCCCTCAACCAATACATGGGTAGTTAAACTGAAAATATGTTATAGATGCCGATTTAAGGAGGACCTGCACAACGTACCACATGTCAATGGGAGACTCTGGATGGTAACGCGTACTGAGTTAATGCCGATTATTCAGACTGACGAATCGCAGAAAGGTCAGAAAGTGTGAGGTCTCGATCGGATGAGAGTCAGAGGGCTTACGCGGCTAGCAGTGAGTTGACGTAGACTGAGAAGAAATCTGGTGAAAGGGGTAATTGCTGTATAATCCACCATGCTCCTCGTATTTTTCGTGCCGATGAAATATACCGAGATGAATATCATGCTACCGGAAAAGGCGACGAACTGTAATTAGGCACGACGAGTCTGTATGAGTATCCATACTTTCGACCGACTAGCTCCATGTCGCAAGCTACACGCACTGTGACCAGATATAGCAGCATAATCGCACTGTAAACATCGACGGAATGAATGCAATCCTGATGATACAGAAATAACGGGATCTACCAACCTTGTGAACAGCCGAGTGGCAACGGTATAGTTGATCACAATCGTTAGCAACCACCTATTATAGTTAACATCACATCAGATACCGCCCTGTTGTATAATGCGTCATTCCGCGAACCTGTAGGATCCTGAGACTCGTCTCCTTGATGTGTAGAGGAAGCGACAGAGTCACTGCAACGCCGACGTCCGTAATGGCATAGCAAGCCGCTGCCGCACATGTCAACCACTATCCATGATCATCAGAGACGACACGCTGTTCGTATCCTTAGGGTTACCTCAGCGACAGCGAAGTCTTTCCTGCCGACAAAACGAGATGGGTGAACGAAACTACGAGACATTTGCCCAGCCACTAAGCATGCAATATGTACTCCAATAGATAGAGCTAACTCACTTTGCTATGCGAAATGCTGGATATGCAGTATCAAAGGTGTCGGAAGTTTCGTCGCTATTATGTTTAGACTTACCCATAGCGAAGCCTGGCATGATAGGAACAGGGGCACATTGCGGTGAATGTGGTCAGTTCATTATGCACCGACTCACAAGGTGCGAGTACAGCAGGAAGAATCTGTTCCCAACAAGGTAATATTAGATTCGATGACTCGATAATCAATGGCTCTCACCAGAAGCAGCGCGTACGACCGCTTTCCGACTGGATTGAGGGATAAACAAGTATTCAATGAAGACCCGCTACCAAGATGATTGAGTCTTACGGTTCCATATACGAAGAATATAGAAGCTATACAGTAGGTCTGTTTAGGTCCACAGCCGTAATACCGACCCCGGATTCCCTGACCTTTCTACTATCGAAATAGCAATGATCTGATCCGAAAGTACTCAGCAAGTCATCCCCTGCAGCGGAGCGCAGGGCGCACTGAAGGTATCGCATCGCCCTACCGTGGGTCAGCATCGCCGAAAAGGAGCATCACTTGCATATGATAGACAAACCAGAAGTACGTCGCACGCGAGCAACACAATGAGACTGGATGAATCAATACAAGAAACAAAATGTAATAATTATACAAGTCAGAACTCAACATGCGATGCGTATTCATGCCGAGAACGAAGGCGTTCCCGATTATTCAAGCTGACAAAGACTGTTTCAGTACCAACGGTAAAGAGGGAAGGGCAGTTGTACTCACGCTGCTAGGAGTGAATTTACATATACTACATAGGGACCCGCATCAGCTACTGAACCCCTGTGAAGGGATAAACGAACCTTTCGTCCCCACAAAATACACGGCCAGGAAGATCATATCTCCCGCAAGTGCAACGAACTAGAGTTCGCAGATTCCCGTCAGATTGCCCGTCTCGTGGTGCAGCAGTCCGAGACGTACCGTAACGAGATAGGTTAACATGATAATACTACATCTCGTCAGCGCAGAGTGGAAGGGAAAGCTGAACCATCCTAACCTAGTCAGGAGACCAGTCGCAATGGCGTAATTGATCAAATTGTTGATCATGGACCTATGGGCAATCAGTCAGTGATTGCAGACGACGAAACAGCGCAACTGACTTGGAGGTAGCGGAGACGAGATGCCGGGAAGTGTATAGGTAGTAACACAACATGGATGCTATCCCGATGTCGGTCACAGCGTAGGATGCCGCCGCGATGCAAGTGAACCACTATGAATCAATTGAGTAAGGATATGGAAACCAGGTGCAAAAGATGCGCACCTCTGCGATCGTGAAGTGTTCGCCACCGACGAAAAATGACGGGTTTGCAAAGCTGAGAGTTGTGAGGACCCCGGTAAGGAAAAGATTTCGTAAACTTTCGGAGGGGAACTTACTTTACAAAGAGGAATGCTGATGTGACGGTGTAAGGTTAGACTGCGGTCGGGACGCGAATAACCCAAAGAAACGTGCCCAGAGCAAATACTACGGACATGTTCAGCGCGCGATGCCTTATAGAAGTAACAGGGAGAAGCTCACTTGGTGCGATAAACGCCGGAAGGATCTGCGGTTAAGGCTTGAGCATCCCACAGTACATCGAATGTGAAGCAAACTCGTACCAGGATCATGGCCGACTTCCGATTGCCAACTGGGACTCCGTTAGTACCAAGGAAACATTACAACCATATGAGTGCACGTACAGTGCCATATCCTCATAATATAAAAGCTTGAGACAGTTGCATATCAGCGATGAGTCATGGTGCATCTTACCGGGAATCACTGATCTTACATACCCCTCGACAATGGATATGGCGATGATCTACAGACTTAGTCATCTGAACATCGGTACTCCACATTAATCACTCACTGAAGGGATTGCCTCTCCCTGAAAGCGACCTCTGTTAGTACTTGTGAGATGCAAGTCTGACTAGGATTACCAAAACACTCCTGTAGCGCAAAGATACGGCGTTTCAGAGGGGAAGAGATGTGAGGAGGTCTCATAATCTTAATACGCACCATGCCCAGTATTCACATCCAGGCACCGTCAGACTAGCACATTTACGAGACGCGTAGAACCATGCAGCATGCGAAAGCAGACCTTGCTGGAGAGTGTCCATCTAAGGGGAATAGGTGTATGCTCGGGCCATGAGGCATCAGCGCCACTTACCAGCCATACGGTCGCTACCTGTTCATTGTCGACTGAGTGACAAGCACTCCATACAGACGGAGACTACTACTAACCATAAGCTTGATTCGCCACGAATCACCAGGAAACGTAAGGTAGTACTGGACAACTTGGGCGCAGCTAACCCCGTATAACCTAGCAACCCACCGTAAGCGCTCCACTGAACTTTCATGACGATTCACCAACCACTTACATCGCAGAGATCGTAGCGCCATCGAGTAGCGCACCAGCCGTAGCATCAATGGGCGCCATGAACAGGTTCGTCTAGGGCTGACAAACGACGCATAAAGAGCAAACAGAACCTAGCACAGGCCAAAGACGACGTCGGCATTCAATTTGTTCGGACAGCCGGGTCTTTCCAGTATTCGCACTCCATCGCGATGCTTCTCCTTGACACGATGAAGGCGCTCATATATAGTACAGCACTGTACAAAACGAGTCCCGTGCGACAGGTGTTTCGCTCCTCCGGTTCCCAGGATAAGTCCAAGAGCGGATCGCTTTCCTTTCGGAGGCACCCACACTGACACAAATGACAGTGCAATCGCCTGCGTGCCAAGCGGATCAGGCGACTCGGAGTGGATGCGTGCTGCAGTCGGTGTTATAAGTCTAATGCAATGTGGCTGACTATAAGCAAGGCGCTTTGTTCGTCTAGATCTGTGTGACCAGCCAGAACAGATATGTCGGGGAGCATTGCGTGCAATACAACCAAACATATCGGTTTAGGCTTTGTGCGTCTCACGCGAACCATGAAAGCGCGTGGGGATGGGAGAGAAGAAAAAATGCTGCACGCACGGAGCAGCAGCTGTGCTTGCTCAATTGGAAGGGAGGGTCAATACTAGGATGCTAGACATCTGGAATGATGGACATGCAAGGCACGAGTATAGCATCGTCACGGTCAACTGTCAATGACAAGTTCAGCTGAGCGACAGCAGAATACTATCAAATCCAGAATGTGGCTACGTCCGGCAAACCCCGATGCCCACCGTTTAGTAAATGTTATTATTGTTTAGTGAGAGGTCCACCCGAGTGACACCGTTACCAAGCCTTCTTAGGCTTGTGACTGGGGTCGCAGTCGCGAGCCTAACACGGCTCGCAAACCTTAATTCCGCACCCCACCTGAATCCCCCGCCGGGGCCCTGTCCTTCAGGCAGAGTCGGTAGTGGGAGTCGGCAACGCCTGCCAAATTCGAACTCCGCCGCGCGCGTCACGCTTCAGCCACATGAGCGAAATGCTGGTTACAGCTTGTGGTGCACTTTTCAGGACGAGGAGACATTCTAAAATAGCGAAAAAATCTCTGGATATTCTTTGATGTTATATAGAATCCATCCTTCCAGTTCGATTTTTGATACACTGCCTTGTAAGTGCTATAAGACCAGGTTCAGAGGGCTGAGGTGATAGGTTAACCAGGAGAGGGACACAAATCGAGAATTTTAACTGGAAGGATGGAATCATACACATCTAAAAGAATATATCCCGATTTTTACTCTAATTAAAGTGTGATACTGAGCGAGAAAAGTGCACCACACGCAACACACACCAGATAGCCATAGTCGGCATTTGCCGACACGCGTCCATTGACGCGTTTTCGACGCGTTTTGATAGAACACGTCCCTTCTGAAAGCACCGGCAAATGGAGATCAAGGCAGGGATAGCTAAGGACGAGGCTGGTGCCCATCAAGTCAAAAGTAACCAAGAAGGCGGACAAGATTAATGCTCTAATCAAAACAGTTAAGAGGTATTCTGAAGGCTATCCCTTTAATTTTATGGCAGCTTCTACAGATAATACAGACCCAGGGTATGAGGACTCAGGGGAAGAAGAATACTAATTCATGATTACCATATTGCGCTTTTTAGCGGTATAATAATTCTCTTTATTGCATATATGACATCAATACTACTGTAGATATTATACCAGCTGTATTAAGTATCAAAGTTTCTCTTTATCGTGCAGGAATAGATCATTCAGTCCGAGGTTGGCAGAGGAGAACGGCCTATGGCGCGAAATGATGCGCGTGTGACAATCACGGTCACGCGGACATTTGGCTGGCAGGCGTTGCCGACTCTCATCGGTAGGGCAGACGTCACCAAGCCTTCTATGCTAATAATAGTCCGCGCCTGCTCCTAACCCTAAGTTGGCGCCTGCCGTTACGCACGGCGCCGACGCTTGTCCCGACACCCGTGCTCATTGTCGCGCACGACGGCGACAACTATAGCACTCTGAGGCAACGTCTAAATTCAGAAAAAATCGTGATAAATTCTAGAATATATACTAGACATATATACATGCTCTGCGACAATATATTAACGATTTCCCTTCCATTTTCGTCACCGGCAGCAGCACTGAGATGAGCTTCGTGCTGCTCGTATGAACAATTAACGGGAGAAAAATGATGTTTACCTCTGGTAAGCAATACACAGTGTTGAGTGAGCAGTGAAATCCATTCCCACTGGTAGAGACAATGAGAGGGCCCTGTGGTCAATGCATACCAGTAGACTAGCAGAAAAGTGAACCTATGTATTGTAGATGACGCGGAAAGCGAGCATTGGAGAAAGCATGGGGCTTGAAGATCCCTTGATAGACATGGTAGGGCGCTGAGGTGCTGTTGCAGAGCAGAGACATTGACAATTCCTGACAAATGAATAGAAATATCAGCTGAGGCACTTGGAATGTACAACATAAACGAATCAAAATGCAGATAGAATACTTAAACATGCCTACCAAGAGTGCCGGCAATTGTGCACTGATCCTGCTGGTCCTGGGGCATGATGCTGTCTCCAACAGTCCACAGTCAGCCGAAACACCGATGCACACCGTAGGCATTGCAGACAGAAGATGACTCCATAGACGTGGAATCGTGAGCTTAGCGGAGGAATCGGGGCAGGGGGAGGGGGGGTATGACTACAAACCGGCAGAGCGAACATAGGGAATCCTCCTATAGAGTAACGAGAACGTGAGGGCTGCACTCTTCATCTAGGTTAATCATACTGTATGCGATGGGAGATACCGCCAGTGAACTCACCCAGCTCCCTTGCTCTCTGCTGATCCCACAATCCTACACTCCGAGCATCAAGCTTTGCTGATCACGTCCCTAATGCATCCGTACGGCGCCCAGAGCCTGTTGCGCAGCTTGACAACTCAGTTCTATTGCTTGAAAGAATGCATAGATACAGAAGAATGAAGGTATTACACCACCGTAGAGGGGAGACGATCCGAGAGTATCTGAAGAGGAGAGTAGCGCTCAGCCACCGGAAACGCGCTGCAGTCAAGAGTCCGATTCGGACGTCCGAATCAGCGTGCTACACTGGTCCAACGCTGCTACCTGCTCATCTGTCGTTGGTATCTGGCTCTCGCTCCTGTTTGTCTTGGCGCCCGCGTATCTAGCGCAATAACGCTCTTCTGCGCACCATAGTTTGGGTCTGAGTATGCCTCTGAACCTCGGGTAGACGTCTATGTTGCAGTAGCTAGCATTGGGGCCTAAGGTGTGCACATTCCCTTCACCTCCGTTCTATTTTCCTACTTTTGATTCGAGGCTTCATTCGCACTCTCGTTCTGCCCCCCCCCCCTGCCTTATGCGTTCAGTCCCGCTTTACCCGGCTGCGCCTGCAACTCTCGAGGATAGTGCACGGTCAAGAAGAGCCGATTCGCAGCCGGTTGAGGAGTACATCGGATTCCAGAGGTTTCTAACACTTGTGAGTATGACCATTATGGACCCATTTGAGCTTTGTTCTTTTGCCTTCTATCCCGCTTCCTTCCTGCATCTCTACCTTCTCATTTCATCAATGGGTGCAGTATACCTTATGCTGCCTCCGGCTGACACAATTCAGACGGAGTATATACATGTTTTATTCTATCATTTGCACGAACCCCCCTCTTTTTTGGACCGCTTGTTCCCCCTATCTCGTTCTCGACCTGCTGCATGATTTCTTTCCCTATTCTTACTTTCCTATGCAGTCAATGGCGTATTACAACGTTTTTCACAGGCTCTGTGGTCCTAGAAGCACCTCGAAATTTTCGAAGGTGTCATTCACCGTTCCGACAGGTGTCTTCTCTCCAAGCAGAACGGGTATCCACCTGTGTAGGTGGTATTACGTTCACTCCGGGCTAATGATGTTACTAGTATTGTGTTTTTACTTTTCAGTAAGTATTCTCTACATTATTCATGACACTATGATGCATACGAGAGGTAGCGCGAAGCTCGTCTCAGTGCTGCTGCCGGTGACGAAAATGGAAGGGTAACTAATCGTTAATATATTGTCGCAGAGCATGTATATAGTTCTAGTATATATTCTAGAATTTATCACGATTTTTTCTGAATTTAGACGTTGCCTCAGAGTGCTATAGTTGTCGCCGTCGTGCGCGACAATGAGCACGGGTGTCGGGACAAGCGTCGGCGCCGTGCGTAACGGCAGGCGCCAACTTAGGGTTAGGAGCAGGCGCGGACTATTATTAGCATAGAAGGCTTGGTGACGTCTGCCCTACCGACTCTGCCTGAAGGACAGGGCCCCGGCGGGGGATTCAGGTGGGGTGCGGAATTAAGGTTTGCGAGCCGTGTTAGGCTCGCGACTGCGACCCCAGTCACAAGCCTAAGAAGGCTTGGTAACGGTGTCACTCGGGTGGAGAGGTCAAAGCAGGTTTTGGGCAGTGGCTACTTAGCCCAACGTATCAGACAGGTTGGGCGGCAGTCACCGAAGAAATACCTTATATTTCACTGGTATATACCGAGATAACCCGGCTGAGCTGGCTACAGCCGTCAATTTGCACCATCAGGCTTCAGCCGTGCATAGGTGGTGATGATGCAAGCTGAATCAATGGTACCCGTAGATATTTCAACCCGATAATATTACAATAATTCATTCCTTCTGTTTTCCCTGTCTTTACGCCGTCTCCTGCGGGTGGGCGATCAGCTTCACTCCACTGACCTGGTCATTCTCCATCCGCTTGAGACCATCGGGAATCCCAGCCAAACCATTTGGCAGCACCTCAACACGGTTGGGCTACAGCGAAGCCGGTCAGTTGCTTGGCACTCAAGTGACGCGAGTTGAGATGATGCGTACCTTGAGATCGCCGCTCTCCAGCAGACTAGTCAGCTTGCTGTACAAGCTCACGCCAGTCTTGCGCGCCGCAGGTACATGTACGTTCCCAAACACGTGTACCTGCTTCTTGCTGAGGCTCTTATCCTCCTTGATCTGAGAATTTAATACGAGGACGATCGTCCCCGAGGGCGCAAGCAGGTCGTACCCTGCTTGCTGCGTGTCAGCGAAGCTGACGGCATCGTAGACGACCTCGAGCTGCGAAGTGAGGAGGGGCGCGACGGAGGATTCGAGCGCGGTGAGGGGGGCGTTCCGGTCGACGACGTGGTTCGCGCCGAGGGAGTTGAGGAACTGGGTGTGTTTCGGGGAAGCGGTGACGATGATGGGGGAGAAGCCAGAGAGCTTGGCGAGTTGGATAGCTACCGATATTCAATGAGGATCGCTGGAAGACCAAAGGATGACTTAAGAGGCAATACGTACCGTACTGTCCGACGGAAGTAGCGCCTCCGAAGATAAGAATGGGCTTTCCGGCGTACTTGCCACGTCCACCTTCCTCCCAAGGAGGGGTCAACCCAGCGCCAACTGACCCTTCGGCCGGTCCGTATAAACCGATCGCAGCGGTGGCTAACGCAAGGGGCACTGAAGCACCTTGGTCGAAGGAGATGCTAGCCGGGAGCTATACGGGGTGAAGAACGATAAAATAAAAACATATCGCTCGGAGATGTACTTACCTTGGCGGTGATCTCAGCGGGAACAATAGTGTACTGCTGGAACGTCGCTTTATCGTTGCTAAAGAATCCCTGGTGGAGGCTATGTAGCACACAATGTTCGGCGACGCTGCGTGGATCCAGAAATGACAGGAACCACGCACACTCTGTCACCCTGAGCAAAACCCGTCACACCCTCGCCGACTGCCTCCACCGTGCCAGCCGCATCCGTACCGAGGATGGCGGGGTAGTTTTGGATGAAGAAACCGTACTTTTGGATCTTCCAGTCGACGGGATTTAATGCAGTCGCTTCGATCTTGATAAGGAGCTCCCCTGCGCCGGGCTTTTGGACCTCCTTAGTGCCGACCTCCCAAGCGCCTTGCTTCTCCTTGAGGAACAATGCTTTCTGTTGAGCCATTAGTTGTGTATTTCCGCTTGTGCAGGGTGGTTATGGGGAATGCGAAGGTGCGAGCGGTGGGTAAGATCCTCTCGGCCTGTATTTATAAGCTGCACCATTATTCTACTTGCGAGCTAGTGACGCAATCCGAGCAGTAATCTAAGTCGTAGATTGGAACTGTTAAACGTACGAGATTATCATTCGCTGTCGTGGCCAGGCCTGCCGCCTGCCGCCTGCTGGACAGCCGGCAAGATTGCTTCCCCCATCCCCATTCACGCGAATCTGCTCGAAGCTTGAACAGTCAGCAAATGCCCCTAGACATAACCGCCTTTCGCAAAAACATAGAACGCGAGGATTCTCCGAGTCTAGCTCGCATTATTGCTGGAACATGCTCGAGCTCGCTATTGCCATTGGTATGCACACACGAAGTTAAAAAAGAAGAAAATTGAGATTGGCTGCCAGAGTCTAGAAACACGTGGACACGCCCATATAAATATCCAGCTGCTGTGGCTAATACTTTCGGTGCCACAGAGTGTCGTAGATAGAGCATGCACGACAGGCCTCTCAGAACCGTCGCTCGCTATGCTTGCCTTGTTGGCCAGAATATTTCAGGGTGCCAGTGCTTGACTCGTCGGACTGTTCGTGGACTGTCAGAAACTGTAAGTGTCGCTGTCGGCCTTGTAATAGTATATATCATCCAACACAAGTCAAATCCAGATATCCCGCCACGCCTGACAGTTGCTCCTAGGGGATGCTTGTTCGACTTATCCTGTATAATCGGTAGTACTTACCTTTTCAAGGCATCGAGCAATATAAGCCCGAGTGACATATTATAGGCCACCTACTAAGTTCGACTAACCGCCGAGGAGACATAGTTTCTTTGGAATGCTGCACAGTGGCTACTCATTCCAGGTTTCTCCGTGTAGTATTTGGGGCTTTCCACTGCTGAAACTGTCGGGCGTTGGTTGATTTAGATATACATATCGCGGTAACGCCCAGAGCCACTTCGGATGGGTCCCGGGCGTACGCGCAGCGCCAATACCTCACCTACCTATAATCCACGGCGACTATTGAAGTCGCCGTCGTTGATGCACCCGAAGAGCTGATATAGGAAGTACACTGCGTTGACGTACAATGAAGTGAGACAGTCCTCGGACAGTGGAAGTACTCTTCGCTCTTGGTAACTTACAGGTGATTTCATTACTTCATTTCTCCCGACTTTACGCCGTCTCCTGAGGGCGGGCGATCAGCTTCACTCCACTGACCTGGTCATTCTCCATCCGCTTGAGACCATCGGGGATCCCAGCCAAACCATTCGGTAGCACCTCAACGCGGTTCGGCTACATTCCGGCAAGAGATATCAGTCAATTCCGATCAACCGTCAGGCAGAAGAGGTAGATGAAGTCGCGTACCTTGAGCTCGCCGCTCTCCAGCAGACTCGTCAGCTTGCTGTATAAACTCACGCCAGTCTTGCGCGCCGCGGGCACGTGAACATTCCCCATTACATGCACTTGTTTTTTGCCTAGGCTCTTATCCTTGATCTGCGAGTCCAGCACAAGCACGATCGTCCCGGAGGGCGCAAGCAGGTCGTACCCTGCTTGCTGCGTGTCAGCAAAGCTGACGGCATCGTAGACAACTTCGAGCTGCGAAGTGAGGAGGGGCGCGACGGAGGATTCGAGCGCGGTGAGCGGGGCGTTGCGGTCTAGGACGTGGTTAGCGCCGAGGGAGTTGAGGAACTGGGTGTGTTTCGGGGAAGCGGTGACGATGATGGGGGAGAAGCCAGAGAGCTTGGCGAGTTGGATAGCTACCGATATTCAATGAGGATCGCTGGAAGACCAAAGGATGACTTAAGAGGCAATACGTACCGTACTGTCCGACGGAAGTGGCACCTCCGAATATCAGGATGGGCTTTCCGGCGTACTTGCCGCGCCCGCTTTCCTCCCAAGGGGGGGTCAACCCAGCACCAACGGACCCTTCAGCCGGTCCGTACAAACCAATCGCAGCGGTGGCTAACCCGAGCGGGACCGAGGCACCCTGGTCAAAGGAGATACTCGCAGGGAGCTATATGAGGTGCAACGCGATTGAATAAAAGAGCACCTTACGCAGAGACGTCTAGGGCGCTTACCTTGGCGGTGATCTCAGCGGGGACAATAGTGTACTGCTGGAACGTCGCTTTATCGTTGCTAAAGAATCCCTGGTGGAGGCTACGTGACGCACGATGTTCGGCGACGCTGCGTGGATCCAGAAATGACAGGAACCACTCACACTCTGTCTCCGTTGGCGAAGCTCGTCACGCCCTCGCCGACTGCCTCCACCGTGCCAGCCGCATCCGTACCCAGGATGGCGGGGTAGTTTTGGACGACCATTCCGTACTTCTGGATCTTCCAGTCGACGGGGTTGAGTGCGGTCGCTGCGATCTTGATCAGGAGCTCCCCTGGTCCGGGCTTTTGGACCTCCTTGGTGCCGACCTCCCAAGCGCCTTGCTTCTCCTTGAGGTACAACGCTTTCTGTTGAGCCATTAATTGTGTACTTCCGCTTGTACGGGGTGGTTATGGGGAATGCGAAGGTGCAAGCAGCTGGGTAAGACTCTGTCAGATCAGTGCCTGTATTTATAGATCACACTAGCTACTTGCCAGTACAGTCACTACAGTGACGCGATTCTGAACAAAACTGGCCGGAATCTGCGGATTCCCGAATACGAAGGCCAGACACGCTGGATCAGTCAGCAAGATTGCTTACCTCTGTGTACATCCACGCGATTACCCCTCGAAGCTTGAATAGGTACTTATACTTATCATGGAAATGCCAGTGGACGTAACCCCTTTCGGCAGACGCGGACACTGTCTGGAGCTTGCAATTGCTCGAGTTCCTCTGTCGCCTATCCCCGGGTGATTGGGACATATTGTTGCAGGGTCAAATACGGTTTTTTTGCTCCTGCAAGTACTTGAGGAAAGAGATATTCCGGCAGTCATCCAGTGCTTGTATCGCAACCTGTTGATATAGTGTACACACATACGACGGACTCCTAAATCGATTGCAATTCGCCTCCGTATAATATGCGCAGCTGCCGCGGTTATATTGCGCGCCACGTGCGCCACAGCGCCACAGGGCTTGTGGCCGTTTGTTTCGGCACCTGAAGCTCTCGAGTTCGGCGTCGACATGCTTAATTCTTCCCTGAGCACCGGGGCCCTGAGAAATAAATACGGCAGGGACAATGGCAGGTACTCTTTATTCGACTGAGATACGCCTCGGGAGCCGTCTGCGAGGGATTTGATACCCCCTAGCCTTGCCCGTGCCGACTTCCGACTCAATTAATCTGATCGTATGTGTCCCGTACACGACGGCAAACTGTTATCCGGCACCCATCTGTCAAACATCGCGACCCTCTAGTACGACTGCTGCTTTATGTGAACGTTAACTGTCAAGTTATGTAACGACACAGCGGCACGTTCTATATATCAACAAGCCGTCCTGTCTTTCTGCATGCTGCCCCGTCCCTCTCCTTCCTCTGTGTTATGTCGCCCTTGGACCTCACGTTTGGCGCTCTGTTCAACGGTGCATTATTCTCGCATATGTGAGAGAGCTTTAGTCCTGCCTCTCGCGGTCCCTTACTTTCAAGTTCCTTAGGATGTACGGCTTGACCTGTGCCCAAGCGATTTATTACTTCAGAAATTACTCTGAGGACAGTACATGGGTCAAGGCCACAGTGAGCCTCGCATTATCTCACCCAGTCAAATTTTTTGACTCACGTTCACCCAGGCCGGAATCGTCTGGATAGTGAGTTCTTGCCGATCAGCTGCAACTTATCCCAACTGTTGATCGGAAGTAGATGGATACCCTGCAGCAGCTCTTCCTCGTCCTCGCCCTATGGTTTTATTTGATCGGCGGCAGGGAAGATACCGGCAGCGCCTTCGGGAACACGAACTGGTCAGTCGTCACGGCGTTCTAATCATAGCCGCCTTTGCCTCTTATCATATCAGATCAAAACGCTCATGATAGATTGCATTTATTGTACACAGGGCTCTCCTAGTGAGTGATGTCATGTTATAATGGTAACGCGTTGGCTCACCTCCGAGTCCTCTGACCGCAGGCGCAGGTTGTCCCTTCCGTAAGCACACAGGTTTATTTCCGTCTGAGACACACGCATGGAGTTCACTGCGAGCGGCAGGAGACGTGTGTCCTCGTGGTGGAATGGTATGGCACATTTGAAACCCGCGTGTGCCGTCATTCTCATAGTCGCCGTGCCCTGCAGCTTCTACATCCGACGGATATGGATACGTACGTCTGCGCAGCAGTTCGTCCAATGTTGATGTGTCATCACTCACCGATTGATGCTCAGTCAGCCGCAGGAGCAAGCGATCTCTGCTCCTGTTCTGCCCGGTAGCCCTGGAAATAGGCGAGTGGATGATGTCCTTAACACAGATGACGCTTGTTTTGACTCATGTCTTCTGCGCCCTCATAGTTATCGGTGTAGGTGAGGCAGCAACATGTTTCATCACAAGGTCATTGTTCTAACACACTGATATTCGCAGCATACGCCGCCAAATGGTACGCTCTCTTGTCGCGTTTCAATGTTCCTCAAACCGAGATTCTCCCAGCTTCGGACTACCTGCATTCAACGGCAGCGTGACATATGAGGTACAGTGTAAATATTGGTATCATATATGGCTTCTAGCCTCACGCTTCGTACCCGTAGTGGCTCATAGGCATATCCGGGACATGCCGCGTCATAGCCGATCTAGGGATTGCCGTGTCCATGATATACATCCTCTGCAAATCGTATCGAGGCGGTGTGACACCCAAGTACGCGTGCACTTCCAGCTACATCCTATTCGCGGAGTCTTACTCCGAGAATGCATTATACTCAGGTTCAATTCACTCATACGAATGCTCGCTGGCTATGCACTCGCGACAGGGGTGGTAACGAGGTGAGCTTGTACGTCCGTATGCTTTGGTGGCATCATGCTCACCGTCCTTTAGTATTGCAGCCATCGGATACCTTGCTGTGGTACGTCATTTATGGCAGTCGCGGAAGCCCCTCGGCTCATGACCTGCAGTACCTCGCCATGCCTTTGAACTTTGTGTATATCGGCGTGTACGTGGTGCACGAGAAGATCTACGTCAACTCGATTCTTGCTTCGTGAGTCGGCACTGTTCGCCAATTCAACGCAGCTGACATTTGTGGTCTCGTTCTGTAGGCTTAACAGCAGGGAAACACTACGCTCGCTGGCAGCGCAGGAGCTCGACATACCAGACATCGCATGATCAAAGCACGAATGGACGGCGGTTCACTGTGGAACTAACGCGAAGTCCGGTAATAACACCACATCCACACTACCTGCGATGAGCCTCTTGGCTGAACAGATTAGAGGTACGTTGACAGTGACTCAGAGGGAGGCTCCTCATGCCCAACCTAAACCGTGACAGTGGGCTATGGGCTCGCCAGGCTGAACAAAACTTCAGTTCTCCGATCGAGCCGAGCCCCTCCCTTGCTGAATGGCTATCGGGACCCTGAAGAGATTCCACATAGGGTGGGGCTGTGGAAAAATTGTCGACCTTTCTTCGAGCTTCGAGCGAGGCCTCAGTTGGTGCTGAGTATCCAGCCTGGGATGTCGAGTGAGATTAGACGAAGTGAGATTATACGATTGAAGGGTTGCACAGCCCTTCGGGCGGTGAGTACCATCGAATAATGCGACTGGCTTATACTGACGGAATCCGGACACAGGCTCAAGTCAATGGCAGTCTGTCCATCTCCACTACGCGTAGCCTAGTGGTAGCCGGTGAGAACACGGGGAAATATATTGTAATTCATAAAATCTGCAACGCGGCTTGACGGTGACCGCAGAGAGGGTGCAGTACGGAACCTGCAACGCAGCGTCACCCAAGATGAGAAACAAAGAAAACAGCAATTTATTTATTCAGGAGCCACAGGCGATAGATAAGTCTACACAGGATTATGGGTGTATAATAAAAAGTGGATAAGTTACTCCTACGTGGTCCACACCCAATATATGCATGTCTAGCTCGCTGCAACCACTCAGTACTTCCTACGCCTCTTCACATAGATACTCAGCTGGCCAGAGTCGATCTTGGCCCGGGCGGACTGCAAATCGACGTCGTCCGGAGGAAATTGCACGCGCCACTCAAGGTGACCTGCACCGCGACATGCGTTTAATACTGAAGGCCTGTCGTGGAGTGAGGCAGGTAAGTTACTCACAATCTTTCTCGAGATACCACAGATCAGCCACTATGTCCAGCCTATCGCCCTTCTTCGCGGCGATGGTTACCATGTCCGATTGAAATTTCGGGCCGAGGTCAACGGTAAGGATGTGTTGGCCTCGGGTTGACTGGATGTTAATGGGAGGCGACTGAGAGGGAAGGGGAGAGCGACGGGAGCGGGCCGTCGGGGACTCGGGTACCCCGGGCTCTGGTGAGGGGCATCGAGAGCATGGTGCGGAGGGGGGAGGCGTGAGGGGCATGACCACGGGTGTGGGCTCGCGCTGTTTGAGGTTCGCCTTGGCCATTTTGTTGTGCTAGAGAGGATGGATATACGATGGAGAATGGGGGGTGAGGCTGGGGTACGGCAGCTGTGCAGAAAATCGTTGAGAAACAGCTGTCTGCCTTTTATGCTCTTACTCCCATTTCGGACCGGCTCCGGGAATATTGGACAGAAGGGCAGAAAAGGGGCTCTACTGGACATACCATGGGTATCGGGATGCGGAAAGAATCCGCAGTGATCTCCCATTAATATGTGGCTGCTGGCTAAACAAGGTTGCATTAAGTTCAATAGTGAAAATGTCGTCTGTCGTCTGTCGTCTGTCGTCTGTTGGGGTATCTGGAGGTCGTGCAAATGGCGAGGTGATTGAATTGGGTAGCGCACCACCAATACATGTACCCCAGAATCTGAGGTGCAGTAATAGATGCGTACGTTAGTTGTTTAAACGCACTTCGACGTGTACGAAAGAAAGCGTCTACTAAGGAACATCATAGAATAGGTAGAAGCCAAGAAGAATCACCGCAAGTCGGACCGGGACGTCTCAAAGTTCGAAGAGTGATCCATAGTCGCAACGGTGGCAAATCCGATAGACAGGTCCAGAAAGCAAAGTTGTACAGTCAGCCGCGGCCGTTCCTTCCTCGTGCCAGACTTGTCAGGTTAATGCAACGGTAGCAACACACGATTGTCCGCGTCGCGAGGCACTTGTGCCGCTTCAGTGCGCCTTGCCCATATAAATGCAGACGATGAAGATCCATGCCCTTGTAACGCATACTCCAAATTGAGTCGACTCGGAGATGAAACCGATCCACGAACTGTAAACAGACACGATTGTCACCCCGTTCGAACTTGAAGAACAGGCTAGGAGACGAAACGAAGGCACGCACGGTTTCTGCGCGAATGCCACGCTGCATGTAGTTCTTACAATCAAACTGAACATTGCAGTCAGTACGGTCAGACGAAGTTCTACCAACTCATATTTACTGGGCGCTAGCAGAATTCAAATCCCGTTTCTCCATGGCGTTTAGTGAGCTCCACATTGAAAGAGGCCAACTTGAAGAAATCGATAGAACAGCCAGTCGAAGCCGGGAAGTTCCGCATCCACATTGTAGCTTCGCGTAACCACCCGGGCCCCTCGTTCAAGTCGTTGCACTTACGATTGAACTCGATCCTACAGCCTACTCCGAGTCATGACCGTGCTATCGCGATGTCACTCGGCAGACCCTCCCTTCGCCGGCGTACTACTTGTTCCTTTCGAGGGCCCACTGGCATCTCAAGCTAGGAATGTGAACAAACTTATTCGAACTATGGCTAGAATATTTTCGGGGGCTGGCCTGTGTTTGAATCTTGTCTGCCGAATGTCCGGAGTGAATCAATTGAAGCATTAGTACTGAATCGGCGGCTGGCATGATGAAGGTCGTTATCACTGCGGCTTGATTGACCAGCTTCAGCATGTTGTGGTAGACGGCTCCCGGCAAGCATGTTCGGTATTCTGACAGCCGTAGTCCATTTCCTTGCTTTCTCGTCCTTGGCATACTCTGGTTCTGTTCCTGAGGGAGGGTCCTGTTCAACCGACAACTATCACGTTGACTCCACAACCAAGAAATTTATAACAGACTGCGACGACAAGACATTCTGCTCAGGCTCGGTCAATGGTACATGCACTCTGAAGAAATGCCGCAGGGACGAATTCCCGTTCGGATATAATCTTGGGGACTCGCTCGCGCCTTTGTGCTCCCCGGGCAGTTTCTGTCCCGACGATGGGAGCGGATGCCAGCCTCTGCTGGATGCCGGCAAAAAATGCGATTTGAACCGGGACGAGCAATGCAAGCAACCACCGAACTGGGACAAACTTGCCAGCTATCTGAACTCCAACGGCTCTCTATGCCTGGAATCGGTTTGCAGGTACGTTCCGCTCCATCTTCCATCCAATACATTAATTTTTGATCGAGGCAGGTATGCGAACGCCACTCTCGGGCAGCGATGCATTCTCGACAATACAACCTACATCGATCCAGGACCCAACGGCAAGCAAATCAGCCGAACGATATTTCGCGACAACTGTAGAACCCCAGCCTTGTTCTGTGACCAGACATACCTGCAGTGCCTTCCTGCGAAACCGCTCGGGTTTCCGTGCTTCCGGGATCAGGAATGCTTGACAGTAAGTGCCTCCTGTTGTTCTCCACCAACCAGTCCTGACCACTGTGAGGCAGTTCAACTGCGATGAGGAGATTTGCGTTGAGCCTCCGGAGACGCCGCTCCGCGTGAACCCGTGGCAAACCGCTGTAACGACGGTCTGCATCTTGTTAGGTGCGAATCAATCATGCTTTCGGCCGGAGAATCGACAATAATACCCCTCAGCCATGAGCGCAACGTGTACCACGCTTGTCCTCGTGCATAAGCGGCAGAAGATGGTGCATTATCGGGAGCTGAGGGAATACTACCACGAACAACTCAGGTTAGTCTCCGTCTCCTTGCGGCGTTGACTAAGGTGGACTTATTTCATTCCTGACATAGCCTACGGCGCGATATCATCTCACTACATTCTGGATCGGAGAAAAGCTCGGTTTATTGATCCCAACTATTTTGAAGACTGCAGTGTTCGTTGTTTCTGTATGACCGGAGCCAGGTAAACATAGCATTTTCTGCGCCTTCATATCCAGACCCAGATAAGTCGTAAGAGGAATAGCATGGTGCTATCTATGGGTTGATTCGCGCTCTCCAGGACGGTAAGCACTGGTAGCTCGAGCGAGATTGTACCCCCTTCCTCGGGTGAGTAACGCGCCGGAAACTTCTTAGAATCGGGCATACCTTGATGTCTCGTAGGAGCTAGGGTGCGTCCAGAGAGTTCTTTCATGTATAATGTGAAGCACTGCGACGGGCGTATCCAGGTTGCCTCTGCAAGTAGGCCAGGAATGCGTCCATTCCCTGATGAGACCAGCTATGGCACCATCATGTTACGACCGTTCCTTCACCCAGAGTGATACATCATTTAAGCCCTGGACCTTTGCGTGTATACCCATACGAAGGGACGGCGAATATTGTCTAGTATGGATAAGGCGATGGCCCTGAGAAATGATACTCGAATCGTTGAAGCTGTCTGGGAAAGTCGCTGCTAGTACTCTTGTCAAACGATCTAGGGTTGCGAGTTCAAGAGGGTAACTGGTGAGCCTTGAGCTATCGTGGGCCAAGCACAAGTTACTGACTCCTACATTCATAATCCCTCCGCCCCCGCTTACTTGATGTCACGTAGGGACACAGTCCGAACGCCCGATTTATATACCTCCGCATTGTTCCATCTATGCTTCTTTCGACCCGGCAATATTTCGAGATTCAGCTTGAAGTCGAAGGAGTCGGGGAGTTTGTCGAGCTCGACATACATCTCGGTGTGTGTAGCAATCCCCCCTCTCCCGGCTTCGCTGATGTCTTCGACAAATACCCAGTATGCCTCTGATGACCCCACCCCGTCGCCGCGAGCCGTCTGTCCATTGCGGACCGTGTATCTGCGCTCCACCTCGTGGGTCACTTCGCGTTCGACGCCAGCCTGCAAGTTCACCGCGCCTAGTCCGCCCTGGAGCGCCGATTTGGATGTCGTGGAGGTCTGACGCCGGTTGCGCCAGTCCGTTCGCGTTGTGGGCCCTCTCGAGGCCTCTTCCGGCCATACTGCCACTACGGTTGTACCTCCGGGGAGGATGATGCGCAAGGTGGCGTGGCCGATGCGTTTCCCGGGAGCAGGGACGAGGGATAACTTCAGCCGGAGACGACGGTGAGGTAGATGGTGTTTGTCCAGTGATAGACGAATTCGCGTGCGGGATTTGCGGACGTCGTAAACGTCTCTCCATTCTGACTGGCGCTTGGGTCCACAGCCGATCCATGGAAGGCAGAACATATCGACTGGATGAGGGGGGTATGGTAGGCACAAGAAAGGATATCTAAGAAGCATGCTAGGCTGTTGCTGTATATGTAATCTTGGACGGCCTAACTTATCTGTTGGGCGCCAGGGACGAACTCATGCCTTCGACAGCGAGAAGGCGCTGGTGCCTTATCCATAGACGGCGGCGGCCTCAACTTCCATGCCGTGCCAGACAGGTGCAGAGCCTGATACATGTCAGGAAAGAAGTCGCGACTGTGAGCATTGCGAATGAGATGCTAATGTGGCCAGAAGCCCAGACCGAACAGGCTCTAAAGAAACGTTATACTCTTCACAAGAACTTAACGTGGAGTTTTGCTATTAAGGTGGCGTGAAGGAGCGCCATCTGTCATCTATATTCTCAGTGCCGCGTTCTATTTCCGGTGCATGCTCTCCTTTCTACCAGGGTTTCTAATTACTGAACTCTGCTGCAGGTACTAGAGATCTTCGGGTTCGCGTAAGACTCGGAACCTGACTCCAGGCTAAATTTTGGAGTTTGAGCTCGCTTTGGTCTCTCACCGTTTTGGGCCCTCAGTTGGAGTGGTTGCTCTAAATATGTGACGTCCCGTGGTCTGCATCTGGATTGCTAGCTAATTTCCGCCATCTCTTCGGACCTGTTGCACTGTTCAAGATGCCATCAGTGTTATGCTGTCAAGTGTAGCCGCTATCTACCTTCTTTTTTGCATGCGCTTCCGGCGCCCAAGCATATTTGGTATAGTGCTAGTACCCGTCGCGTCTCGACTCTCGTGGCTGTCCAGGGAAAATGTACGCGCCCAGTCACGTGGCGTCTGTGGCGAATCAGGTGGCGCTCGGCCGACTCGTCCGGGTATTAGTGCCGGGTTTGCCGGCAATGATCGGCACTCCAAATATTATCTTTCCAGGTCTTTTCCTAGAACCCTTCTGGTCCTTTTGACTCATTCCTGGCTGTAGAGAACATATAACTCTCGAGGATATCTCGACTAATACGCACCCCGGTCTTGGACTGCAAGCACACTCTCTTGCCTTTTGCGCGTACCGGAACTATGTCCAACGTCTTAACATTCCAGCAGCCCTTGGAGGCGGCTGCCACCGTGAACGGTATTAGGGAGGCAAGGATCCATAACAGGGCAGAGTGTTGCGCGAACTGATGAGGAAGCACTTTCTTTCAGACAGGTCGTGTCGCTACGCACAGCGACGGCGTGCCGATCGTAGTCACCACTGCAATGCCCAAAGAGGCGAATGGGAACGGTATTTCGGATGTGAAGTACCTCCCCGCCGAGTTTTACACTCCTTTCCTTTCAGAGGCCGCCAATCGGAGGAAACCCAACCCTAGTGCGTGGCTTCACTCATCTGAGGTTTTTCTGCGTGGCCCTGACGTTGCGGATGCCAAACCAGTCCGATCTCTCTTTCCATTAGAAAATACCCCTGGGCTCATCTCCCTCTTGGCGGGAAAACCAAACGCCTCATGCTTCCCTTTCAAGTCCATCAGCTTCAAGACGCGCTCGCCTACTGACCCTTCCGCCGATGTCACTTTGGAAGTTGACAAGGCCGATCTGGACAGAGGATTGCAATACGGAATGGCTGCCGGAGACTCGTCTTTAGTGAACTGGATTTTCGGTCTCCAGGAGTACTTCCATGGCAGGAAGAGAGGCGAAGGATGGCATGTTTCCGTCGGGTCAGGCTCTCAAGATATGTTGTACAAGGTTAGGATAATCGCCTTGTTCTCTGAAGGAAGACACTGATTGTCTGCACTCCCAATTGCGATAGGCGATAACGGCGATCACGAACCCCGGGGACTCTGTTCTCATCGAATCGCCGGCCTATGCGTGAGTGATAGCATCTCCAGACGCCATCGGCGGACACGGTCCTCATTACCGATTGGTGTTTCAGCGGAGTTCTTCCGTTGCTCGAGCATTGCGAGCTGGTTGGTATGTGGTACCTATTCTCATTTTCAGCCGGAGTGCAAGTACTCAGAAGGTGCCGTAGAGGTCGCTAGTGACTCGCAGGGAGTCAATCCGGCGTCCATACGCTCGATATATGAGAATTGGCCAGCAGAGAAGCCAAAACCTAAAGCATTATATACTGTGCCGGTATGCTTCACCCCTGCTCTTCCAGCGTTTGTTTCTCTCACTAATTGGATATAGTTCGGCTCGAATCCCACAGGTGCAACCACTAGTTTAGAGCGTCGCAAGGAAATTCTGGCCCTTGCGCGGGAGCACAATTTCTTGATCATGGAGGGTCGGTATTGCTCCTGATATCTCCATCGGTGGAGTCTGATCAAGGATGCAGATGATCCTTATTACTATCTATATTTTGGAGAAGCCCCCCGACCGCCGTCGTACTTCAATTTGGAGCTCGAGGAGCCGGAGGTTGGGCGCGTACTGCGATTCGACAGCTTATCCAAGGTCCTCTCAGCTGGGATCCGTGTGGGCTTTGCGTCCGGACCCGAGCCATTATTGCACGCCATGGATATGCATGTATGTGTTTGCGTAGACTTTGTCCTTCAGGGACGGCCTGCTGACTGGGATCGCTGGATCAGACGGCTGTCGCGAACTTGCAGGCCCCCGGTCTGGTGCAGGTGATGGTGGCCACCCTGCTCAACAACTGGGGATACGACACGTTCAAGGTCCACAGCCAGAACGTGTCGAATTTCTACCGCGAGAAGCGCGACATCTTCGAGCGCGCGATGCGCCAGCACCTCACGGGTCTCGCGGAGTGGAGCGCACCGGAAGCCGGGATGTTCTACTGGTACGTCACGTGTGCACCACAAGTGGGGTGGCTTATAGTAGCTGACTATTGTGTAGGTTCAAGCTTCTGCTAGATCCGACGGGCGCCTCCGAGGAGGACTCGGAGGCGGTCATCCGCACGAAAGCGCTCGAGCGCGGCGTGCTCGCGCTGCCGGGTACGGTGTTCATGCCGAACAACCGCAAGACGGCGTACGTGCGCGCGTCGTTCAGTCTGCTCGACGAGCAGCAGATTGACGAGGCGATACGCCGGCTGCGCGACGTCGTGCTCGAGGCGCGGGCTGCCAGTACCGCCGGGAAGGCGTGAGGATTAGAGTTGGGACTACGTTTTGATGGCGGGGGTTCGGAGTCGTGTGCTCTGCCTTAGATCCTCCGCGTGAGATGGCAGTTGCGTGGTGATCTCACCGGAGGCTTGGCGGGTATAAAACCGATGTATGTAGAGGTTATATAACGGTGTATAGATTAGTGTATATAGCGAGGTATCAATGGAACTGGGAGAAGGATATAATTGTGCTGGTGTTGAGTGCTCATGGAAATGCATGGAAACAGGGGATCTGCAAGCCTGAGATGCCGCGATATCCGAATTCCACTTCTGCTTACTGTTTTGCTGACCACTCACGAGGGCGTGACCTGTGTATATAGCAATTGTGACACTATTCGGAATAGAGTCAGGCATATAAGTCGCACGGCTCGGGCGTTCTTTCGCCTTGAGAACTCTCCGAGAACTCTCAGTCGTCGTGCGCACAGCAAATCGTATTCATTGGTGGGTTCAATCATATGGCCTCGGTATAATCTCGTCTGGGCATCAAGCTGAGATCGCGCTGTAGATCACCCTCATGGCCGTCCAAACCGACGCAGCTCCTGCCAACGCGTGCTACCAAGTGAAGTGCGACAAGTGCGGCAAGATTTCGTGGAAGGTATGCGAAGGGCTCCCCACACTTCGCGTAGCGTGATGTGATGCTGATTCGAACGTTCTTACCCCGCGCTCGCCGCTCATCCAGGGATGTGGCCAGCACGTTGACCAAGTGAGTGTTGTTGACTCAGAATTGATGACGAGACGTTTCATTATGTGCGACTGTTTGATGGCCGGTGGCTCGCCGCCTCTCCCCGGCCACCGGTGTGCTCGATGAGCTTCGATGGCCCTACTATTCGAAGGTGCCCTCATTTTACCTCGATTGATGTGCTTTTACGTCGTCGCGGCATTTTCCAAGGACCACCAGACTTTGGCGAGCGTCATTGGGACGAAATTGCTTTACAGGCACCTCAGGATATTGGATAGAATCTTACTGATGGAAATGCGCTCGTTCTTCTAGGTTATGAAAGACGTGCCTGAAGAGCAGAAGTGTGCCTGCCCTCGCTGAGGGATTCGCCGCGGCCATGGCGGGAGATGCATAGATTGTTAGCACCCAGGGAGGTTCGTTGTGTGAGAAACACCAGGTCATTTATGATTAATCGCTTCCCCTTAGAATTCCTAATGGATCAGTGTGCAATAAGTCAGATTATCTGGAGATGCCTCCGAATGCGCTGTACTTTAGTTGTGCGAAGTTGAAACTATACAGGTGATACAGAACCCGACGTCCACGTACCAATAAAAGGATAATCAACACAGTACCAGGATGAAATCAAGCCATACGAACGTCGTGAAATGAGCGCGGTATATTCGATACTAGTGATTTATGACGTGTTATTCGGCGAAAGAGGCCGAATGACCGAGATCTAATGGAGTAGCACCGCCATCAGAGCCCGATAACCGGAGGGAATTGGCCGGATTATCTTAAGTTCGGCATCAAGGCTGTCAGAAGCGGTTTTTGGGGTCCTCGGTACCGTATTACCATGTCGTTAGCACTCGTTTATAAACTGCTCTGGGGCTCTGCGGGGTTGCCTTCTCTTCTGCGAGTCTTGGTCTGCGTCGTCGTCGTTGGCAATATCCTGCAGAAAATAAGCATATTTTGCGCGTTCGGCAGCGTATGCAGCCTTCAATATGGCCGACGGGTCTCTGCCTCCTGAGGACTCGGCCACTGCGATGGACGTGCATCCGCCTCTAGATCCTACGGACGGCGTCCGAATGACCGCTGCAATCAGGGAGAGTTATACGGACAGCGGTCTGCCAGTAATTAACCAATATATTCGCGGGCCTATGATTGGGAAGGGGCAGCACGGAGATGTCTATCTGGCTTGGGACTTGCTGCACGAAAAGCAGCCAGTGGTACGTCTCACTGTCGTTCTACCCGGCCTGCGCAGTAGCCTCATGAATGGAGGTCAAGGCCATCAAATCCGTCAGGCGGCGCAACCCCCGGGCTGAGAAGATGAAGAAGTTGCGACGTCCGTCTAACATGCCGAGCAGCCCTCACATCCCCTTGAGCGAGAGGCTGAGCAGCACGGAACAGAAAATCCGGAAGGAGATTGCCATCATGAAGAAGCTGCGACACGCGCACATAGTACGTCTCTTGGAAGTCATAGACGACAAGCTTTACTCGCGCATTTTCATGGGTGCGTCTCGGTTACGTCTTTAGGATATCACCTACATGTTCCAGTAAACGCGACATGATGGGGGGCGTCTCCCTGCCGCTTGTGTCGCAGAACCAACGTGTTCCTAGCAGACTGCCCACCGCACGTCCTTACTGCTATATGTTGTTCCGTAGTTGATGCTGACCTTGGTTCTTTCCTCAGTCATGGAATTCCTCGGAGGAGGGGAAGTGAAATGGCGTGACCGTAATGGCCGCCCTGTGCTTCATGTCGACCAAAGTAGAAGAATCATCCGAGATGTCATACTCGGTCTAGAGTACCGTAAGTACCTCCTTCATTGCATCACTTCGCGTTGTGGGTCAACTAAGCGGCGGTTTTTCCTCCATGGAAGTCCATTATCAAGGCATAATCCATAGAGATATAAAACCCGCTAATCTCATGTACACGAGCGATCGACGTGCCGTGAAGATCACCGACTTCGGCGTGTCGCACTTTTCCTATGCCCAGCGTCTCGCCGCGGCGGGTCAGCGCAAGGCTACTGGGGATGCCTTAGACGACTCCATCCTCATGGACGAGTCTGATCTCTCCAGGACAGCTGGCACCCCCGCTTTCATGGCGCCCGAGGTCATCTACGAAATCGGGACCATGTCCGCGGACGGCCAGACCTCTGTCACTCCGCTGACCCCGCCGAAGCGGCAGATCTCGAAGGCCATCGACGTCTGGGCGCTCGGCGTGACGCTGTATTGCTTGCTTTTCGGCACGACACCGTTCTTTGACGAGGACATGAACGAGTATCCCGTGTACCAGATGATATGCAACCAGGACTGGGATTTGCCCGCGACCATGGGCTCGGATAAGATAGAGTCGGGCCCGAGACATCCGCCGAAGACCAAGCACGACACCGAGGGCAACATTGTCGTCCGCCTCCTCGAGCGCCTCCTCGAGAAAGACGCCGAGAAGCGGATAACCCTAGACCAGGTCAAGGTGGGTGGCTACTACTCTGCGAGTGAGTTATCCGTTGTTAATGCTGATATGCTCACTCACGCACCAGCGCCACCCGTGGTTTTTGCGCGACATCCCAAACCCAGACGCCTGGATACGCGAGACGTCGCCGAGCAACGAGGAGCAGGTGACGGTCACGGAGGACGACGCGAGTGACGCCATGTCCGACGTGCGCTTCCGGTGGACGAAGCGGCTCACGCGCCCGATCTCAAACCTGTGGAAGACGGTGCGCACGCAGCGCTCGTTCCGCTCCAGGCACGAGGAGGACGACGACGACTTCAAGTGTATAGGCCAGAGATCTGCACCGCATGTGATGGTCACTCGGGCGAAGAGTACGGGCTCCAGGCCGCCCACGGCGACAGGGTCGCTCGAGAAAGGGAAGGCTCGGCGGCTTGCCCCACTCGCTCCTGAGTACAAGAACGAGTCGTCGCCGGACGTCATCTCTCATATGCGCTCGAGATCCACGGATCGACTGCCGAGTCCGCGACACCAGTCGGCGCAGATTGCTGGTTCGTTTGGGAAAGCGCGTCGGGGTTCAGAAACTTTGCTTGTCCCTAGACCACGTCATGCTCTACCCCCGACTCCCCGTTCCGCGCATTCTGCTAGCCCCACAGCAAGCAGCATTGGAGATGACTCGCCGTACGGCGGGAAAGGTTCGGCAGACAGAAGCCCAGATGAGCCTTCGCGAAATCGATTCTCACTTTCCTCCTGGATCCCTACTAGCCTACGTCCCAGCCGACATACGTCTTACGGGCCCGCTCCTCACGAAGCATCTACTTCAACCTCCACATCTGCGGCGTCGTCTCCCCGCGGCACACATGTCAGAGGGAGTCCCATTGCAGATCTCTATGCAAGGAGAAGTGAAGAGGCTTTCACGATTGTACCCAAGAGGGCCGCTTCGTCCGAGAAGGCGTCCGAGTCGCTGACTGCAGCGAGACGAGCCTCTAGCTGGGGCGAGACCGCCGAGTACATGCGACATTCTGAGGACGTGACAAGCGTGCATTCTGCTGATCAATGGGAATCCGCTGGTGTAGACAAGGAGGTTATGCATCTTGGAGCGGGAGGTATTCTGCTCAACGAGCCTCTTCACCCTGCAGCGTCGGCTGTTCGCCTTGTCACAGGGAGCAGTCCTCCATCTTCTTATCCCCTCGTACCCCTACATCCCCAAACCGAACGCCTGTTCAGCGAGACGGGCGATGTTCCCCCCGCCGCCGACCCAGCGGTACAAGATCTTGTTAGACAGGCTCAAGCGCATCCGCGTTCGCACACCACAAGTCCCTTGGCACAAGTATACTACTCGGACAACAGGTATCAAGATTTCGAGGACGACTCTAGTAGCTTCTTCGGTCGCAACTCCGATGACGAGGAGCGACCAACCTTGAATACCAGCCAGATGTATAATGAAGAGGACGAGGAGAGCGACGACGAAGCCATCACACTAGAGGTCCGACGACGGCGACCATCGGTATCAGTCACGATGGCTTCGTCACCCCCACCCCCAGATAGCAGCGAAGAATAGTAAGAGAGGACCCCTAGACATGTAGGCATGGACGATTTAGAGTAAGAGAGAAGTCATAGATTACGGACTGGAGTGTTTCATTATACCCTACTACGCATGATCTCATCCCCTCAGTTGTCCGTTCCGCTGTCGGTATTTCATCAAAGTGTATGAGTATACACAAGAAAATTTATTACAGGGCTAGCTAAGGTAAGCTTAAGGTATCTCGTGGGTGAGTATGGTACATCGCACGTTACAAGAGTTCCTCCACATTCATACCATAACAACAGCACCAGCATAAGACGATAATAAATGAGCAGGGGAGATAAGGGAAAATGGAAATAAATAGGCATAATGGCATAAATGTCATATAACTTGAGAACTCATATTTGGAACTTATGTCGGCCATCCCCTCACTATCCGAGCAGCACCACCACCCATACGGCCGAAGAGGCTCCATACCGCAGCAGTGCCGTCAGCGGAGAACCCTTCTCCGTGAGGGTACATAGAGTTGAAGGTATTCCACGCCATGCGGTCGTAGTACGACGGCCCAGTGTGGACATAGTGAGGTACCATGAGCGGCCTCATGGCTAAGAAAACGAGGGCCGATGCACCAACGCATAGAAGAACCTGAGTTGCGATGTTACTTCCCGATGGCGAGTCGTTGCCGTCCTTGCTTCCATACACGTAGGTGTTGTAGATGTTGTAGAATCGGCCGCTCTTCCGTCGCTTGCCATCCTTCATCGGGCGAGGCTCTCCAGTCTTCGGCGAGTCTTCTAGGATCTTGTCGATAACAAGGCAATCGACGCCGAGTTCTTCCTTGAGGGCTTTCCACTCTTCTATAGCATCCTCAGAGATGCCGGTAGCGACGGTCTCGAAAGGCCCGGTCACACCAGGGTGCCATTTGTGAAGCGTCTCCGCCGCGATGCGCAATTGTTCATCTTGCTGGGTCTGGCTGTACGACGGGGGCATGTCGGGCGCAGGAGGCTCGACTGTTGGCGACTTGGGTGTCGGAGGAACGACTGTCGTCGAGGAGGAGGCACCTTCCTCTTCCCGTACAGTAACGTCGTCCGCAACAATGTCAGTCTGGATGTCCATGTCAACGGTAACCTTCGGCGCAGGTACAGGCTCGGGTTCTGTTTGAATTTCCAGAGTCTGCACTGGAGGTGCTTCGGTCTGGATGACTGCAGACGCCCTTAGGATCTTCGGTTCAGGATCCGTCTGAGTTCCGGCAGTCGCGAGGAATTCAACCGCCTCATATTGCGTAGCGGTGTCCGTGTATTCTTTCTTCACTTCCTCCAACGTGACTTTTTCGACCTTGCCAGAACGAGCGACCCTCTGCAGAACGCAAAGCTTTAGCATGTAAAATCTGAAATCACAGGCTGCTGACCTTCTTTGTGCGGGTAATGATGGTCTGGATTACATCTTCACCTTCCGTCCCACTAGATCCTTCCTCCTCAACAGCGGTTGTCGCCTCACTGCGCGCTCCCTCGTCCTCCTCCTCTTCTTCTTCTTCGTCCCACATGCCATCTTTCATCTTACTCAGCAGCTCCGCCCCGAGACTCTTACTGATGGTATTCTTCGCACTCGCACCCGCGCCTCCGGAGGCACCCTGCACCTGGCTGTTACGCAGCTCGTCCATATCGAACCTCATACGGTCGATAGTCTCCTTGAGCAGCATGTTCTCTTGCTTCTGCTCTTCGAGCTGCGCGTGCGTTTGCTGCGCCTGAACGAGCTCGTTTTCCAGGACAGTGATGCGCTCCTCATAGTTGTTCTGCTCGCGGAGCCATTTCTGACCCTCCAAGGACTGGAGGGCAGCAGCCTCTTGGAGGTCTTTGATCTCTTCGTCGCGGCGACGGAGGGCATTGCGGTAGCGCTCGGATTCAGCTTAACGTAGATAAGAACGGATCAGCGAGAGCTATTGAGAGATTATAAAGATAAGGGATTTACGCACCGCATTGTTCCTGGTACTGCTTCTGCAGACTCTGGTACGCAGTCCGAGAGTTGTCCAAGCTCTTCTGGAGTTTGGCAATCTCAGACTCGAGCGCTAGAATCTGCGTGGAGTTTTGTTTCTGCAAACGATGAATACTGGCATAAGCTGCGACGAAGAAGAGCGGGCGAGAAAAGCGAACCCACCTCCTTAGCCCTCAGCTCCTTCTCCTCTCTCTTAGTCGCACTCAGTTCACTCTTCGCCTCTTCCAACCGGCTTTGCATCTCTTCCAGTTCCAGCTCGTGCTCATTGAGTCGCAATTGCAGCATCCGCTCCGCCTCGTACAACTTTCTCCCCAGCTCCTGATTGGTCTTCTGAAGGGCTTCCAACCTCTCACTCGGCTCCAGAGAGACAGTCGACGAGGCAGCAGACCGGTCCATCACCAGCCCCATCGTTCGGTCCTCGTTATCCGAGTCCGAGTCCGAGTCGTCCCCTCGCGGCATGGGCAGCGAATTGACGCCGTGCGAAAGGTCGTCGTCCTCCTGTTGGTGGCGGAACCTATGGCTGCTGATGTCAATCTCCGGCGAAGGAGGTGTGATGCCCGTGCCAGAGTCGTCTCCGTGGGGTGAGGGGGTGCTGAAGATTCGCCCGCCGATACTGTTGGAGCGCTGAGACTGACGAGACGCGGAACGGGATTGCGGTCGGGAGGGGGGACGGCTGAACGAGGAAGGGGGCGATCCGACGTAGTGATCCATGGTGGGCAGATTGGGTTGTGAGGACGATTTGGGAGAGACAGGGTTAGAGGGTGCCCGGGAGCGTCGGCCGCCAGTCTTGTACGCGCTAGGGCTATCGGAGGCAAACTACAAAGGGGTCATGAGAGGCTTCTTCCATCAGTGGCACAATGGGAAAAGCGTACCTCCGAGTCGCTTAGAGCACGGGAGTGACCTCCATCCACGCTCTTCCTGCGCGCTGCCGGGATGGGACGCTTCGCTGTCCAGCTCGAGGGAGGCCCGAGCGGGGTCGTCCTCTGCCTCCTGGACGCGTCGAACGGCGTCGACGGCGTGCTAGGAGTCTTGGGAGGAACCGGCGGGCCCCGGGAAGGCGGCCTGCTCCTGTAAACTGAGGTACCCGCTGAGTCCTCACTCGAGGAGCGCGAACGGTCGCCGCCCCCGCCCTCCCAGTACGCCGTCCTACCCCGCTCTCCTTCCGACCCGCCGCCCTCCTCGTCACGCTCGTCCGTTTCCTGCTGCTCTCCGTGCTCCGCTTCCTCGCGTGCCTTTGCCGCAGCACGCATGGCTATGAACTCAATAAGCACCTGCGGCGTCACCTCCAGCCCGGGGTTGCTCTCGATCAGCTGATTGAGCTGTTCCTCCTCCTCCGCCGTGATGAGCTCCAGTCCATCGTGATTTTCGGAGTAGGTGCGAAAGACGTCGACAAGGTGGTTGGCGGGTATAACGGGCTGTCCTGCTTCGTTCTCATGGGATTCCGGGTGGTCGTAGAATATGTCTAATAATTCTCCTTCAATGTCCACGATGGATTTGCGGTGTCGGCCATATAGCTGGAATCAGGTGAGCGTAAAATCGGGGAAAAAGCGTAGAAAGGTGCAGACCATGTCCATCTCGGTACACTATCATACAACAGCCGGTACTTCTCAGATAAATCAGGGTGTGTTTGTTATGGCCGTCGTTATGAAGTGTCGCGACGTAGCCAGTGCCACAGCATAATTTGGCCTTATTTGGGCTATGTTTGAATGCCTCCGCGCCCGAGGCCGCTTGATTCGATTGTCTCGCCACAACACAATGACCTGGGCTTGTACGCACTGAAACAACCGCAAATGAAGCACAGTTCAGCGAGCAAGGGTCGTTCTTACGGTGGGTGCTGAATACGCGATTATTGAGACGCGTGAATATGTATTGAGACAGTTGCTCCGACTCAAGTGCCAGTTTTTGGTTCGTTTTCTTTGGCATGACTCCTGAACGGCTGGTTTGCTGTTGATGCACTGACGTACGTGTCGAGCATATTCTATGAGCCAGAAGACTGCTAGAGCGGCGATGGACGGGCTCAGGCGCTGCAGGAATCGCGAACCCAGTTCTCGCGCAACTTTTTTGCCTGAAATTGGGGGACATGATACAAGTGCATGTGCAATCCTGATTATTGCAGTTCACGCGTTCTTGTCTCAAGTCCCACAATCGTAGTCTTGACGAAGATGGATACCTTTCTTTGGGAGGCATTGATCGGGCCCCAAATGGGACCCGCAACGAGGTAATGGTACATGAACAGGCTTTCCAGTAACCTAGGCGTCCTCGCATTCTCCGTGAAGATTTCGATTGACTGTCGCGGAGTCCTGTTCTCGATACGGGTCAATGTCGGTGAACCCCCGATTCTTCCAGTCAATGCTCGTGCCTCATATAGTCGGTGCTGCATTTCTTTCTGTGCCATCCCTCACTGATTTGTGTACTAGTGTCAGGTATGCTAGATGGCACCCACTGCTATGACGCTTCCCTTGGTTGCGAGATTTAATCAGTATCTTGTTCTTGCGTGACATCTTTATCGTAATTGCTCATGCCAGCCACAAACAACCAGCCACAAACAAACCCTTGCTTGATGAGCGCTACCACGCTTCGGTCCAACCTCCCGGTCGGTATGTCCCTTATACTCTCTTATATACGCCGAACGCCCCCATCAGCGATATTTTGGGATCCGTCCGTAATCCGCTGAACGTGAGTGGTCGAGCATGCGCAGCTTCATTTATATCGTAAATAACCGTTTCTCGGTTCTCAAAAAGCCAAATAGCAGTGCCGCTTTCTGCGCCTTCTTCTTTCGTACTTCGATCATCTTCCAGTGTTACTGTCTCCGCAACTCCCATCCTCTCCCTTCTACTTCGTCGATACCTGTGTACTCTGGCTGAGAGACTTCAACTAATGCTCAGATCGTGACGATTACGGGTTGCGTTCCGGTGCTTAGAAGTCCCCCCGCCAGCAAACGGCAGTCTACCGAAGTGGCGACATAGATTGAAGGCCTACAGGATATCTGATAACTTGGATCAGCTCACAGGACCTGGGAATGACCTGTCTTTCTCGTGAGCATCATTCCCCCTTACCAATAACCCTGCATCGTGCCCTTCTTCGCGGCACGATCTGGTGCTGGCGGCATCCCCGTGGAAAGCACCTCATTGAACGAGCGCAGGTGTGAGAATCCGTTGAATGGCGGGTTGCGATTATGGTGGGCTATTATGCTATACATAACCTAATCCAATCGCTCGAGCCCCGCCGACAGGTATTTATGGCAGGCGACGCGCGGTGTGTTGACGAGCACCACCACAGGCAGGACAGCTTGCTCCCTCCCCAACGTCCCCCTTGGCTGAGACCGCATACGACGCTGCTCACGACTTCCTGATAGCGACTCGCTAAAATCAATCAGCTATGGACGTTGGAGACAGCCCTGTCACAGACCGGACCCATCTCACCTATTTGAACGTCGCGCTAGGCTTATCTTTCATCGCGTTTAACTCGTTCTTGTCCTACAATTTTCGGCTGGGGGTTGGGAGTGCACTCTTCACCGCCGCGCTAAGATGTATCATCCAACTGGCTATCATGAGTCTGCTATTGAAGCAGATATTCGAGACGAATAATCCTTGGGCAGTTGCCGGCTTAGCTTGTAAGTCCCAAACGAAGTGGTCTGCATACCGGACCGATAGTATTATTTGCATGAGACTGACACTGAGCTAGGTCTGCTCAACGTCCTGGGTACCACCGAGACAGGTGTGTTGTGCTGCGCACCTATTTGGGCTTGGGCTGATCCTGATGGTTAGTTATAAATAAGTCGAAGAGGCGATTTGAACATATGGTAGGAACTCGAGGTCAATGTAATTTGTCTAAATACTACATCTTCGTTGTAGTTCCCCTCCGTCCTGATTTCGATGATGGGTGCGACCGTCCCGGTATCATTGATTGGCTCGCGTTTCGCCATGGGCATAACGCCTTTCTGGACACCAGACCAGTATGGTATGTATTTATGCGACAGGTGTCTCCTCCCTTATCTTGACGCGATCATTTCTCTTCAGTGCCGATCATCGGTATGCTCTGTGGAGGCACTGTCTCAGGTATCAACGTAGCTGTGTCTTATGCGTTGAAGGAGCTTCAGTAAGTCCATTGCTGTTCGAGAAATAAGGAAGTGTGACACTGAGATGTGTATGACTACAGCGAAAACAAGGATAAGGTTGAAGTTTACCTTGCCTTTGGCGCATCCAGGTTCGAGGCCTCCAAGCCCATTGTCAGGGAAGCCCTTAGGCTCGCGCTAACGCCGAACATCAACCAGCTGAGGTTCGTGACGATAGTCGCATTCTTGTTCCGGCTGGATTATTGAATACCTGCATCACCCCTTCTCCCATTCAGCGTTATCGGAATGATATCAATCCCTGGGATGATGACCGGCGCCATTCTCGGCGGGTCCTCCGTAGAGCAAGCCGCCAAGCTCCAAATGGTCATCATGTTCATGATCTCCTCTTGCACCGCGCTCTCCTCCATCGTCTCCTCATGCCTCGCCATGACTGTCATGATCGACGGCGAGCACCGCATCCGCTCGGACAGGATGGACACGCGCCCCCATGCGGTCTGGCGCGCGCGCAAGTGGCTGTTCGGAAAGATCGTCGACGCGCTGCTGGGGGTGGTGGAGTCTGTGAAGGGCCTCGTTGGGAGGAGCGGAAAGGGGAAGGAGACGGTGGCGATGGAGGAGATGAATGGGGAGGACCGGGTGGGTCTCTTGCCGGGTGGGAATGGTGGGCGCACTATGAATGGCCGTGGAGGGTATTTCCTTGTACCCAGTGCGTGAGCACGTGTTGCTTAACCCTGGGCATTATGACAGTTTCAGTCGGCCTTTATCAACCACATCCATGTGGAGAGGCTTGAGCGCCTGAGCGCCTGAACGCAGACCGCTTTGGTTCAAGAGATTTTCAAGTTTTCGAGGGAGATATAATTCACCGTGTTTCCTATTGTCTAGATTAAAAGTCTGGCGAGGTCGTGTAGGATACACATCGGAGTAGTGTATAGTATTATCTTGTTTTCTCTGCACGTTGTTGCAATACCTGTTATCCACGGCGAGTCGGAAACATTAGGCGTTCCTCCTCAAAGTCGCCTTCGGTCACCAAGTGGCTATCGGTAGCGATACGGCTTCACTCTTGTGGTACGCCGTCGCTGAGCTTCTGCAAGAAGCACTATCTCCCGGACATTGGTGCATTTTGCAGCCGATTGCAGTTCGACGGGCCTACTTTCTGAAATTCATTCTTAGTCGGACCATGTCGGAGAGGGGACTGTAAGTCCACAAGGTGCCAAAATCAGACCCGCTGGACTTCTTTGCATTCTTCCGACGTCCCTGGCACCATCTCCGACGCACTCCGACTGTATACGACTTTCTAAGTTGATGGCTTATCATTCTGCAAACGGCCGTATGGAAGTTTCAAGGCTCCGTGGAGGAAGCTTTTTCTGACCCGAGGCATTCCGCGCCACATCAACGTAGATCGCCACAGGGAAGAGGACTTTTGGGTGCAGGTCCGACGAGAGCGAACGCGAGAGCATCCGGAGCTGGTATAGCTCAATGCTATATTGAATTGCCTACGACCTCAGCAGACGCATGGGGCACTACAAGGTTCGAGGACAAATACCAGAACCGCAGGGTACTCATTATTAGTACTGACCATCATTTTCTCTCCCCGCAGATTGCTCCCGCCCGGGTGCACTAAACTGCTTCAAGAGGGCAGTGCCGACGTTCTGCATGTCGGGCTTTGCATCCATGCTAGTCATTCACCGGGATGCTAGTAAGTAGTAGTAGTGTCCTGGCATTCTATATCAGAAGAACCCTCTACATCAGAAGAATCCCCATGATCAGAGGCCCCGTCACGGTCGACATTGCAGGTCGGAATGTGGCAAGGTAGGACAGTATCAGCGATATCGGTGTCTCTTTAACTTGAACTCTGCAAAGCTTTGCATTGTAGTCTATGGTGATATTCTAACTTCCGGTATTTGCTGGTTGATACATGCGCGAATTGGAGTCCATGCATTGCTGTGGCCATAGAACGATGCCTCTCGTGATCTAGGACGGTCAAAGCATTGACTTGTTTCGGATCCTCAGTCTCCACACCGGTCCTGCGCGATAGAGCATTACGGCCTGCCTGCGACTGTAAAGGTGGGGAGGCAATCCCGTCGTTTTTGTTTCCTGTATGCGCACCCCCATGATGTTCTGTTATTTCAGCATTTCGTCAACTTAGGCGGCCTGCGACATCGGCCAGTGAGGTGGGCTTTCCGCTCAGATCTCGATGCTACATATTCTGACGAAGATACAGTGGCTGAAGCATCCAGCATCTGTGGCGATATGAAATGGCATTCATTCAGCGGCCTCTTTTCACCTCACCGTATTGTGGCGGGACCCTGCAATTACTCTGGAACTCGGGGCTGCACTAACTCAGTATGATCCATGGCTCGCTCAAATGGAGAATGGCTCATACAAGAAAATTATATAAGAGGGCTCGGGTATCCCACCGTGGACTGCACGTCTAGCTCTTCTGTCTCCTCTGCACTCACCCATACCATGCCTGTAGTGCCTGAGAAAACTTCGTCATCCCAGCCATGGTGGCAGCCATACTGGGAGATATCCAGGATGAACCACTGGCCCCGCGGCCCCGCTGTCATATTCTGGCCTTGCGGTACGTTTCTTCGCTGCCATCGCACTGAGCATCTTGACACAACCCCATCCAGTCTGGAGCTTACTGTTCAGTCGCTATGGTCATGCCATCCAACCTGGAACGCTTTCACGATATATGGCTGCATTCATGGGCGGCGGTACGATCTCACATTGTGCCATCTGTACTCTAAACGACATCTGCGACGTGGACTTCGACCGGCAAGTCGGTGCGTGGCCTACTCACTCGCGCTCGCATCTCCCTGACCGCCAGATAGAGCGGTGCAAAACGCTGCCTTCGGGAAGGATATCAGTCTCCGCAGCCAGTGTCTTCCTCGTCGTCCAAACTGCGGCGTTCTGTGCAGTCCTGTTGACCATTAACCGAGAGGCGTGGGTGACGTCTTGTGCGTATGCTCGCCTGGCCTGAATTCCCGCACAGTTTTATCTGCGGCGTGCTAGGCATGCCGCTGCATGGATTTTATCCGCTAATGAAGCGAGTGACCCACTGGCCCCAAGCATGGCTAGGTGAGTAACCGCTTTACTTGGGAACGTCCCCTACAAACTTACATTACGGAGGTCTCTCTATGGCTTGGGGTGCTTCGACTACGTGGCTGATGGTCAGGCCCCACGATTACGATTCCAAAGCCGTCTGGGCCCTCACTGCTGGCATTGCTTTGTACGAGAACCTCTCCGCTCCCTAGGCTTGTCACTTCCCTAATCGCTCGCTGCAGCTGGACGGTCGTCATGGACACTATGTATGCGTGTCAGGTACCCATGACTCCAGTCCACGGTTTCAGCGGTGATTAATGGGAACCAACGTAGGATCGGAGGGACGATATCAAGGTTGGCATCGGGTCCACAGCCGTCCTCTTCGGTTCCTGGATCACGCCCATCCTCTCGGTCTTTGCTGCGCTCTTCGTCGCCACTCTGATTTACGCAGGCCAGGAGACTAATCAAGGCCAAGTATATTACACCATCGCCGTTGGAGGTACCGCCGGGCATTTGGCGTGGCAGTTGTCGACCTTCAATGCCGATGATAACGACAATTGCCAGACTAGATTTGACGTGAGTTGCTCTGGGACTCGGAGATGCCATAAGACGTGCTGAATTCCCTTAGTCCAACGGCCAGATTGGGTATATCGTGACGGCTGGTCTGCTGGGTCAGATGTACATTTCCTAAGTGGAAGGGTTTCACTTTAAATTCTTGGTGATCTCAATCAAGCCCACCGAGGCAAATATGCACAGAACCTTCTAACCATACTTTCCACCTGCTTTCTTGGTTTGGCCGTCCCTATAGATATTCTTGTAGAATTCTTTGAATGCGTACGTAGCCTGTATCAACCGAATCTAGCGTTGTCTGTTTTGAATCAGTGAATCCCTCTGTCTGCTTCAACATATTCGCTGCAATTGATATCGGGAGGACAGATTGGATCTGAAGTCGAGGCCATTGACAACCCGCAATGGTGGAATACTGGATTCCTACATATCTCGGCCTTCGCGGCTTACAGGGATGTCATCACTCACGCACACAGATCTGCCAGACACTAAGTTTGGTGCAGCATTCCAGGACACAAGGCAGCAAGCGCTGCTGCAAGGACACAATGCAGACATTTCAGCATCATAACATGACTGGCATAGCGCTACGTATAGCATACGATCGAAACAAGCAGTAACATAAACCACTACTAACACACCCCTCTGGAAAATTTAGGGTGCGAAAAGGGTCTTCAAGAACGCTTCCCCTGCGGTCTTCACCTTCTTGGGCTTCTCCGCCTTCTTCTCGAGCTGCTGTTTGCGGAATGCCTTGGCGTAGGGGTTCAAGCGGAAGAGTACGGCCTTGTTGGTGAGGGGGTTCTTCTTCTGCGTCCAGGGGCGCTTTTGGGTCTTGGGACCAGCGGGGCGGACGACGGCCTGGATCTCAGAGCTGTTGATCAGGCGGGTAACGTCGGGGTTGCTGATCTTGGCGGTCGGGAGGCTATACGGCAGAATTAGTATTAGTATCAACCAGAAAGATGCAGCAAGGATACGTACAGGTAGTCCTTCTTGTAGACGGCGGCCTTCTCGAAGGTGCCGAAAACCTCGTCCAAGAGGCCGAACGCGCCCTCGGTCCAGATGACGAACCGGCCCAGATGCCCACCAGGAGCCAGCTGGAGCAAGTTCAGTCTCCTAACGTTCACCAGCTCAACACCGGGCAAGTTGCGGAACGCCTTGACGATGCCCTTGTCCTCGTTGTACACAACAAGGGGGCCGCGGCGCTGCCTGTGCCTGCGGTTCCGCAACTTGCCCTTGCCGGCGCGGAGCTTGCGCGAGTTCGACACCTTGAGCACGTCGGGGTACGCGTTGAGGCTCTTGAGGAGCGCAACGGCCTCCTTGGTCTTAGCGAACGACTCCACAGCGGAGGAGACGACGAGGGGGACCTCCTCGATCTGCTCGATGCGGTGGCCGCGGGCGAGGACGAGCGAGGGGAGGGCGGAGGCGGCGAGGGCAGACACGACGGCGAAGCGGCGCTGGTTTTGGTTGACCTTGACGTGCCATTTGCGCCAGGTCTTGGTCGGCGCGAACATGCGACCGCCACGGCACATGTTACCGAAGGCAGCCTGCGCGTAGATGAGCGCAAAGGACTAGAAAGAATTGAGAGCGCATACCTGACCGGAGCGGTGGGTTCCTGAACCACCGACACGGGGAATACGAGCGACGGCACGACCGGTACCCCAGGACTCAGCCGAGGTTTGGTGACCAGCCTTTACATTGACGGCGTATGCCTGTCTCTTGTTCTTGGCGATGCTCTCTGCCCATCAAATGCATTCAGAATATACTTGCAGGCATATACTTCTGCTACTCACTGTGCACCTGCTGGACGACATCGAGCCTGATGGGCGCCGTCAAAACGGCGGGCAGCGGCAGAGAAGAAGTGGCCTCTGTATATCCGTCAGTTTCGCATCCGTCAACAGCAACATATCGAGTACTGACCCCCGGCGGTGGAACGAACGTTGACGGTGGGTCTTGAGGCCATCGCGGACAGTGTTGAAGGGTTGAGGCCGGCGGGAGGATACGATGTTGACGATTCGAAAATAAGGTTTGAGGCTGCTCATGCAGGTCGGCAGTTACCGGGCACGTGATGCTTGTGACTTTCTCACGTAGTCACATCGTCACTGAACCACATAGCGCAGGGATTAATGGCATTCTAATGCGAGGGTAGGAGCGAATACAGTAAGAACTAGAATACACTTATACTGATTATAGTATTTGCTCTCCCCTCAGAGTTTCGGGATAGACGTCGATAGCGGCGGAGGGAATGGCCGTGGAGGGCTGAGATATTGCCCCAGGATAGGCCACCCTGGCCCTGGGGACCCTTCGTAGGGACCATCAAGTGAGCTCTGAGCCACACCGGACGCTCGGCCAGTGACCTGCGCGTTGCGATCCATCATAATTGCGTGAACCTACAAGTCCGCGTCAAGTCAGTCATCATCAATTCCCATTTGATGCAAACAGAACTTCAATGACGGGAGGAGACGCGCAACACACCCGGAGAACGCGAGCCCGAACTCTCCTTCGGCAGCAGAACAGACTTGAGACCCACCTGCATGCGCAAGCCGTGCACGGCCGCCTTCACGACCCGCATCTCCTCAGCCATCATCGCGTGGTCTGTGTTCATCGTGATCTCCGTCCGGCGTGCGAGCGAGTCGACATTCGTGGAGACTGAGACGATCGACTCGTGTAGACCGGAGAGGGCTCCGTATAGCGTCGTGCTGAGGTTCAGCGGGGCGACGGACGTGCTAGCAGAGGGAACGGAAGGGACTGGAGAGGCGTAAGATGGGTTAGAAGCGGAAGCAGCCAGGCCTGGTGGTTGGTGCGACGGGGGTGCATGAGACCGAGGAGAAGAGGGGTCAAGGTCTCCGGCGAACGGGTTGATGGGATACTGGTCGGCAGTGAGGGAAGTAAGGTGGGCGTAGCTTTCTGGTGTTGCAGGATCGATAAGGGGGAAGTGAACGGGATGCCGGGGAACATGTGGCATCTGATCCGGGTGGGGACTAAGCATGTCTTGTCGACTCTCTGGTTGAACGTATACATTCTGCCGGATGTCCACTTCGGACGATTGGGGAAAGTCAAACTCATCTGGCTCAGCAGGGGCGGGCGGTTGGCGCGAGTCACCTCTTTCGAGGAAGTACGAGGGGGCTGCTGCGTAGGGCTCCGGTCTGAACCATGGCCCTAAGGCGTTCTTGACCGCTTGCATCTCCTTGGTCATGATTCGGACGAGTCCTTCCAGCGCGTCTATCCTCATCTTCAGGAGCGTGTTCTCTTCCGAGAGTCTGGCAATCCCAACTTCATGCGGGGGTTGTGATGAAGTTTCATCAGGAGCGGTGACCGCCTCCTGATCACCAGAGGACTCATCCTCTTCAGCATCATGGTCATGGCGATCTGAACCCTTGCGGGAGACCGTGGCATCACCGCCCTCCGCGTCAGAAGGCGCCTTGACGAACTCACAGCTATCCTTCATATGAGAGGCGAGAAGTTGTCGCTGACAGGTGTGTCTGCAACCCGACTTGCGCTCCGGGCATTCCACGATCAACTCGTCCACTAGCTACACCTCTGTTAGAGCCACCGTCAGATCTTCAAGCAGAACTACTGACATTTCGTACAACAGGGTCAGCAGGATACAAGTCCTCCGGCGCAAGCGGCGACCGGTCCACGGGGCATTGCGGGGTGATCTGGATCGAGTGTACGATGCATTCGTAGCAGAATGTATGCGCGCAGGTCCGCGTCGTCGTAGGCTCGACGAACGGCGACCTTTCTCGGAGTGGAATGTTCAGAAACGCTGCCGATACCACGGTAGCTTTGGCCTACCTGCATATGCAACACATCTGCGTGATTAGGCGTCATAAATGTAATCTCGCATTCGCCTACTCTTGCTGCTCACCAAGTTCGGGTCGACCGCATTGACATAGTTATAAGATGCTGCCATTTCCTTTTAGCTGAATGCCGCAAGTCTATATTCAATTTGTATATCCTGCAGAAGCCAGGCAGCGGTGGTCGGAGACAGAGACGGTACTACCTCCGCGGTTCCGAATCCCGCCATCCCTGCCAATTGCGTGCGCGACAGCTGCGATTTACGCATGTTGTGTCTTCTGCTCTCTTTCTTCATGACTATAAAGCCGGTCATTGCTCTACATCGCCAGCAACCATGACGGTCTTTGCCCGGGCGATCCTGAAGAGACCGCCGTGTTGGGGTGCTGCTTTGCAATGTCGGACTTGCTGGATCCGGAGCTCTGCAGCTTGCTCGCCTTTCAGATATCAGCACTTTGGTGGTTTGGAATCTTCTCCGCCGCTGCTCGAATGCCTACGGAGAACCTATCAGACGAGTGCGCCTGCTGGTAAGGCTGCGGAAGAATCAAAAGTGCAACCCAAACCATCCCCGAAGGGGGCGCAGGCCGCGCCTGATCCAGTCGCGAACGCTGAACACCCAACTGCAAAGGAGCAACGGAGAACGGACTGGACCATCATCAAGCAGCTGGCAGTGAACATCTGGCCACCAAATGACTGGTCGGTGAAGGGGAGGGTACTGTTCGGTTTGGGTTTGCTCGTCGCTGGGAAAGTACGCTAAGGCTCATTGAATTAGTTCGAACGAGATGACCAACGATGAAACGGTTGTGTAGGTGCTGAACGTCCAAGTTCCAATGGTCTTCAAAGGCATCATCGATTCTCTCAATCTTGATATTACGGCCGGCTCGACTGTTTGGGTCGTATGCGGGTCATTGATCCTGGGTTGTGAGTCGATAAGTCCACGCATCTTCACCTGAAACCAACCATAAATTTTGTACAGACGGTGCCGCTCGAATTGGCGCAACCCTCTCCGGTGAATTGCTCAATGCCGTCTTCGCTTCGGTCGGACAACGCGCCGTTCGGAAAGTAGCACGGGAGACGTTCGATCACCTGCTCAACCTGGACCTGAAGTTCCACTTGTCGAGGCAGACAGGAGGACTCACTCGCGCCATTGACCGCGGGACGAAGTAAGTAGCCCATTTACCGTCTCTTAAGCAAGCATTCACGGGTCCAGAGGCATAACATTCATATTACAGGCTGTTATATTCCGCATAGTACCTACCGCCTTAGAAATCTCTCTCGTATGCGGGATACTGGCAAGTGCACCCTTGCTTCCATGCGCGCGTATTGCATAATAGCGTGCTTCCTCAGTCGTACAAATTCGGGTGGGACTTTGCCGCAATCACGTTGCTCACCATGGCTGCCTACACTTGGTTTACGGTCCGAACTACATCATGGCGGTAAGCAGTTACGTTCTGTTATCGACGAAGTCACGATTCTCATATGTTCCGGCAGTACGCGCTTCCGCCGGGAGGCAAATCAAGCCGACAACAGGGCTGCTACAGTGGCTGTCGACTCCTTGATTAACTATGAGGCTGTCAAGGTAATCATTTCCAGTAGAGGTATTGCTGGCACTGACGTCTATTCAAAGCACTTCAATAACGAGAAATATGAGATCTCCCAATACGACAAGCACCTAAGCTCCTACGAGAAGGCCTCCATCAAGATCACCACGTCTCTAGCTTATCTGAACTCGGGGCAGAATATTATCTTCTCAACCGCCCTGACTATGATGATGTTCCTGGCCGCGCAGGGTGTCATTAAAGGTCATTATCTTTCCTTTTCATAGTCCCACAGAGTGAGAATCATTATACCAGGGACAATGACCGTCGGGGATCTCGTTATGGCCAATCAGCTGGTGTTCCAACTTTCGTTGCCACTCAACTTCTTGGGCACGATCTACCGCGAGATGCGGCAAAGTCTGTTGGACATGGAGACATTGTTCAACCTCACGAACCAGAATCAGCCCCGAAAGGTACATTCACCGCTGCCGCGAGAGTGTACAACTCACATCACAGTGTTGAGCAGGACGCCCCAGATGCCAAACCCCTCGAGTTCCGGGGCGGCTCTATCCGCTTCGAAAACGTCAACTTTGGATACCACCCAGACCGCCCGATCTTCCGCGATCTATCCTTCACGGTTCCTGCCGGTAAGAAGGTGGCTATCGTTGGACCGTCTGGCTGTGGCAAGTCTACCGTCTTCCGCCTGCTTTTCCGTTTCTATGAACCTTCATCGGGTCGCATATTTGTCGACGACCAGGACATCCATTCCGTCACCATCGAGAGCCTGCGCAAGTTGATCGGGGTTGTCCCGCAGGATACGCCGCTCTTTCATGCCGATATCATGCACAACGTGCGCTATGGCAGGCTAGATGCGACTGACGAGGAGGTCATCGAGGCAGCGCGGAAGGCGCAGGTTCATGAGACTGTCGCGAGCCTACCCGAAGGATACAGCACAAAGGTCGGTGAGAGAGGGCTGATGATTAGTGGAGGGGAGAAGCAAAGGCTGGCAATTGCGCGGGTCCTGCTCAAGGACCCTCCCATCCTATTCTTTGACGAAGCGGTATAGTTGCCCTCTTGGTGTTGTGCTGGCCTACAATCTGAGCTGTCTTTCCAGACGTCTGCACTAGATGCCCACACCGAGAATGAGCTCATGCGCAACATCGATTCCACTCTCCTAGACAAGCAGAGAACAAGCATATTCATCGCGCACCGGCTGCGCACTATCATTGATTCCGGTGTGTGGCCTCTGCTCTAGCTGATACAACTTTACTGACACGTTCCCAGACTTGATCATTGTCTTGAAAGACGGTCAAGTAAGCGAGCAAGGGACGCATGAGGAATTACTTCGTCAAGGAGGATTGTACTATCAGATGTGGGCCCAGCAGGCTTCAGATGCCTTTGCGGAAGAGGCGGAGGATAGCGAAGTCTTACCACAGCAACATGCATAGTTCACTCTATGATACAAAAGTTGGGAAATGATTCCAGAAGGTCAATGACACCTCTTGATATCTCCTCCGGGCACAGCATGAGACCTTTCATGCAGCGCCAGCCACGAACTGGAGTCTCTACTCTGTTTGGAGCCTGCTATATGATTCGTTTGGAAGTTACTGGCAACACTGCACAGGTAGAAGTACGGTTGTGCCATCTCCATGGCCCCCAGCATATGGTGGATCTGCTACTACGACAGCAGACTATTGTAAGCACCAGTCAGCGATGTGAAGAGACGTTGAATGGGGTTTGCTGGATGGAGAGGACAGGGGCGATACCCGGGGAAAGGGGTGGGGTCCAACAACTCCAAGTGTGGCAAGCTCTTCATTGAGGTTAGGGTTACCTAGTGTCTGATCAGTCCCTCGCAATGGTTGACAATATTGTTAAAGCGCCGGAGGTCGTCAATGCAAAACCAAGGAATCCGGACATGCATGAAGGAGTATAAATAGTCCTTTGTAGTGCTACAATGCTTATCCCCCATCGTCTGGGATACAAGGAAATACACAGCATGAATCCAAACGAGACACAACAAAGCAGGACAGCAAGTCAAAGTACAATAGAACACAGCGGCAGGGGAAAAATGGCGGGTGGCACGAGCCTGAGGGTTTCATCACGCCCATTCAGAGCCGTACCACCACCTCTTCTCTGTACCCCGCACCGACCACTCAACCACGGCATTCGTAGAAGCAACGTATAACCACGAGCCGCTGGGATCGAAGCACACTCCGGCTAGATCCATGTCCTGCTCAGCCATCCCACCGCTGGAATCCTGTCTGGACTCATTACGTCTAGCGTGCCGGCGAGCGCTGGCAAGCCTGCCAACCCGCGCGACAAGCCTATCGCGAGCCGAGTGCGCCCCTGACGGTACCTGTAGCGTGTCAGATGCCTCGTATGCCGACTGCACGGGCATAGGCACATGAATGGGGAGCGCAGACACCGGAGAGCTTTCTCGCGACGGCTCGCGTGACGAGAAGCATGCGTCCACGTCGAAATCCTCTCCATCAGGGTCAACCTCCATGTCTCCTTCGCCATCTGTCACCTCTCGTGTCGTCCGCGCGCGGACGCCCTGCTGGACCAAGATCCGCCTGATCTGCTCCTCCTCTTCAAAGTTACCAAAGGGCGGGATAACGACCTCGTGATCGCCTTCATCCTCAGACGCAGATGAATCCCCGAGGGCACGGATACGCTCCCTGAATCGCCTGCGCTCTTCTAGCTCAAGTCTGTGCCTTATCCGCGCGGTTTCAGCCAAGTGCTCCTCAATCGCCTCTCTAGCCCGCCTGCGGTCCTCCCTGGCATCACTGAAACTTGACCGAGCACTTTCCGGTGGCGAGTTGCTGAAGACAACTATGCGGGGGAGAGGTGATGATGACGACCTCACTGTTGAAGAAGATCGTGATGCCGAACGGTGCACCAGAGAAGAGCTGTTGTCCGCAGCCCGAGTGCGTGGACGTACTGTCGGACTCGTTCGCGCCGCGGAAGCCAAGGGTTCTGCATTGAGCGCCTTCGGTACATGGATTATTTCCTCCGTCTCAAATGTCCTAGCATCCACCACGTGGAGGACTGATGTGTGCTGTAGAACTAATTAATAAAACCGACAAGTACCGATGCCCACCAACGTACCTCCGTAAAGGTCATGAGCTCCCGCCCGTGCCCAACTGGATCATTGAACTTGACACATCTAAAGCCCCAACCTGGCGCCCTGGCGCCGCCCCTAGCCCAATCCCACGGATCGTCGTACAAGTAGCCGCTTGCAAGCCCAGAGCCACTCCGGCACCAGCTCGGCAGCCTCGACTTGTCGGACTCGTACACCTTGAACGGCTTCGAGCTGCGCACGTCCCAGACAACGACCATGCCCTCCTGGCTTGCTACGGCGAACTTGGTGCCGTTCGGCGAGAACGCTGTGGAGAAAGATGCAGGAATCGTGGATACGGGACCGTAAGCGGAAGGCGATGGCGCGGGTAGGGTTAAGGTGGAGACGGGGGTGAAAGTTAGGCGGGAGGAGCCGGAGAGGTTATGAAGGAAGACTTGAGAAGAGTCACCGACGGAAAGCAGCGTGCGGCCGTCCGGCGATACGGACGCTAGTACGGGTATCAGTCGCGAAAGTGAGGACGAGGGATACAAGGAAAACTGACAGTGATTGACAGCAACGCCCAGCTTAAGCGTCCCTGCATCGTCTAATGTATGTGATCGCGAACGGGTGCCTATGTCAAAGAACCGTACTGTGCCGTTATTGTTGCTCACAACTACCCGCGGCTCAACTTTGCTGTCGTGCGACCTCGCGAGATTGAGGTTGCTACTCGTGAACGTCACGGAATTGTTGATTGACGCCTGCAGATTGTGTTCTTTGCTCCAGACGCATTGTGTCGTTTTCCTGACAGTCACTGTATCTGGATCCGACGAGGAGTCACCCGGGGATAAGGACGTGGGAGTATGCAAGGATAGGTGGAGTTCGGCGTCCTGACCGCCAGCGGCGAACAGTGTCGCTCCTGGGAGCTGGAGCGACGCCAGCGTATTGGGGACAAACCGTAGCATGGCGATTCTCCGGGGTATCTGAATACAATGATCAGGATGGCAGTCCACAATATATAGATTCAAACAAGGAAACGAGGAATGCTCTAGGGCATACAGACAGAGATTGAGTCCAGGACCGGAATGTGCATCTCGGAGCTGACGAGTGTAGGAGCTATCAGCTTTCGGAGAATCGAACGTCGGTACTTCTCATATCCGCATCGTCCCGAGAGGGCCCTTGAGGGTCAGGCATTTTGCGCGTATTTCTCTTTGAGTCCTCCCGTGACCACACGAGTCACGACAGACCGTTTCTCGTCGGTTCAGCCTCCAGCCACCCGAGGCCAATTCGTACCTGATTGCACCAATTGCCTATATAGAGCCCTGGTGTGCCGCAAGTGGGCCGGGGAACTCGGCGAAGTGTGGGCGTTATGTAGCTGCTGGAGTCGGCTAAGAACCATCGCCTACGAGAGAGCACGTATTTCGATGCAAGGACCTCCGGGTATTCAGGAACTGCTTGGATCACCAGAGCGGCCGGGAGTGTGCCGCAATACAGACGAGCGCCAATGACGTTGACGCCAACACTTCGAGCTCAAATGCACATTCCAGTCTTGACCGACCAGCTACCCCGCTTGCCTCCCGAGCACCGTAAGGAGAGTACTCACCGAACGTGGTGTAGAAACATCATGCTCTACTATCGCGCCCTTCTCATGAGGCTCGTCCCTCTGAGGTGGGTCCCTCTGAATATAATTCACAACTCCCCTCTCGTTCGGACATATCATCAAGTCTCGCAGCTGCCTATGGATGCAAGTTAGTATGCGCTGGCCTTGGATACTGTACAATGCATACACATGACTTATTGCCACCCGCGTCGACGCGACGCTCGTGGGCGCCGACGACAACAGTGAAGAGTCGCGTGCCATATTTACAATCACGGTTGCGGTCAAGATTATAAGAGAGTTAGAACGGATGGCATGGTACGGGGAAGAGTGGCGGGATTCACTGGCACGAGCCGCTCACTGCAGCGCATGACGCTATTTAGGCCGCGGCTCACAAACCGGGAAGGGGAAGCCGGCGAACCATGCAGGGAGGGTATAACCACGAAAATACTATTTATGACTGCGTATTAAGACCATTAGCAGAGACGAACTATTCTATCCTCCCACGTAACCAGCTCAATAATCCCTTCGTACCTTCTCGCTCCCAGATACGGCGCTGAGGAACTCGGAAACTTGAGGGAGAAGTCAGCAATCGTGAACATGGAAAGGAAGAAAACCACCTACACATTCCCATCGACCAAAAATACGTCCAGAGGAAGCAGTCCCAACTCCGGCGGTAGTTTGCTAATCGCATTATCCCGCAAGTCGAGCTCTTCGAGCTTCCACTCGGGGAAATCCCTATTACCCTTGAAATGCTCCGCAATGGCGGTAAAGCCATCCAGAGACTCCAAACGGTTGCCCCGCAGGCGTAGGTGCTTGAGGCCCTTGCGAGCAGGGCCAGATAGAACGAGGGACGACAGGGCCTCCTTTGTTAATGCCTCAGACGTGAGAACATTGTCCGACAAATCAAGGTCCTGGAGGCTGGGGAAGAGCTTCGCAAGCAGCGGTAGAAGCGACTCAGAAGTCCGTGTGAGCAAACCGGAGCCGGCGTTCGCATCCGCGCGAATAACCGGTACCGAGTCTCCAAACCCGCATCCCTCCAGACTCAACTCCTCCAGATATGGCAGGAAAATCCCGTCCGTAGGTGGTAGCCTAATAACGGGATCCATTCGCCGATTCGCCAAGTGCAGCACCCTTAATGCTTGAGCGAACGGTTCCACAGCGATCTGCGCAAGCGGGAGGCTCGGTGTGGGTAGTGCTAGCTGGACTGTATCCACAGCGTCCAAAACCCCAGCTCGGGAAGGGATAGCAAGCGAGAACGCACGGGCGTGCGAGGGAGGCTTCGACGCCGGTAAAGCCAGCGTCTGCGTTTTCTCGTTGTAAAATTGCGGATTCGAGAGAGAAATTGCTGGCGGCGAGACCGGCGTAGGAGGTTTCACAGTGCTACTAGGGTGTGAAGGCGTGATCTGCGCTTTCAGAGCAGCAGCCGCTCGCGCTCTCCGCTGAGCCCCTGCAGTCAGCAGTCCTTGCTCCGCTGCGACCTCCCATGGCTCTTTCGCTACCTCTTTCTTCTGAGAGTCCGTTTTCCCGCTCCAGGGGTCGGGCTCTTCATCAACCATGCCCCGGCCACGCCTTGCCTTGGCACGCCGTTCGGCCTCGATCTCCCAAGCCTCCTTGATGACCTTCTTGCCTACAAGCACGCGTAAGGCGCCCTCAGGCGGGTCCTCGCTCGTATAATCGAAGTTAAGCTCTCGTGCAAGAGCAGACAGCGCCGCCTTCGCGGCATCCAATGTGGCATGGCTCGCGCCGCAATCCAACAGGCGCAGCGCGGGGAACACAGACGAAGAGCCCGCGAACAGATCCGGAGGGAACGATCGATCGCTCACGTTCGCCTTCTCTAACCGCAGCTCCTTGAGCTTGGGCAGCTGTGCCACTGCCCGGATCAGAGTTACGCAGGTGGCATTGCTGGTTTCTAGCGGATTCCCCGACAGGTCGAGCTTGACGAGCGTGGTTGGTATATCGCCTTGCTTGTGATCTATAGCAGTTACTGTTATTTTATTGTGAGAAGCGTCGAGTGTCTGCAGTTTAGGAAGAGGCGTCTCGGCGCGCGATATAGTGGGTTCGAAGAAGTCGGAGGACCGCTTCCGCCTCGCCTGTGCCTGGAATTCCGGGGTGAAGGGAGAGCGGAATGGGAGACCCGTCAGCTCATTGTGTGCAACATTCAGGGTGACCAATTTCGGGAGGGCAAAGATGTTGGTGGGCAACGATGTCAGCGCGTTCTGAGAGAGATCGAGGTATACCAACTCTGTCAGATCCGCGAACGTATCGGGCAGGCTTGTCAATTTGTTGTTATGTAGCTGTGCAAGATTGCTATTGTCAATTATGCTTATGCCGTTGGTTAGCTCACACCCACATCGACCGTCTGCAGCGACCCGAAAAGAGAAATCTCATGTTGAATTTCGACAATTTCGTTGCTCCATGCTTTGAGGACCTGGAGATCCTGGGCCTCGTACCATGCAGGCGCACTTCCGCTCTTTTGTATCGAGCCGTTGTTGCTCCCCGGAAGAGGCGGCTCTTCAGGCAATGAAGGGAGCGGGTCCGGCTTGACGCCAAGAAGAACTTCATATAGCGCGGAGGGCAAGCATTGCAATCCTCGTGTGGAAATGTTGATGGAACCTGTATTGAAACACTTCCACTAGTGAGTGATAATGTCAGAGGCGAGGCCAGTATGAGGAAAGAGAGGACGATAACCGGAAGGTTGCAGAGGAGCTTCGGGGGACGACTCACCAGAGCTGCGAGAACGCTCAATAGTCTCCCTCACAGACCATCTTCCTAAATCAAGTAAATCTTCCCCTTCCTGTTTCTGCACCGGCTTAAAATTCTCGTCTATCTCCGCGAACGCGTCTACTGAGCTCGTGTTCGCGCTAGCCTTTGCCTTCTTTGCTTCAGCGCGCTTTAACGCGATAGCTTCGCGCAAACTCAGCGCCGGTTTAGGTGACGCCGGGGAAGACTCAGGGTCAGCGGGCGAAGGTGGCTTGGTGGCCTTTCGGACAGGAGACTTCACTGGCGGCCTCGTTCCCAAAGCAGAGTTTACCCGGACTCTAGGAGACGCTGCAGAATCCACACGCGCTCTTGCAGACACAGGAGAGGATGCGGCGGATTGCACGCGCAGTCTAGCATTCGGAGAGGGGGAAGTCGGCGACAATGAAGGCGATGTCGACCGACTCTTGCTCGGGGGCGGTATCAAAGACTGCGAAGATGGTCCTGCCGCGACTTTCGCCTTGGAACTTGCGGGCTTACGGTTAGATGAAGGTTGAGGGATTCGAGACATATGTGATTCGTTTCTAAACTTGTAGGGGGGAGGAGCTCTGTAAACACTTCGTTCTGGGTCTATGGTCGGCAACAGCGAGGAGAACCGAAGGAGAACAGTAGAAACAATCAGGAGAACAATTACGCAGGCAGTTCAGTTTGAGAACCAGAGTGCGGTTGGTTCCAGGAGGTAGATTATTTGACAGAATATTATGGTTTACCACTAGTAATGGCTATTTAACTACTCAGAAATTGTAATCTACGTTACTACTTACTGGTGATTTAACTCCAGCTAGTGAAGTGAGAAAGTTGTCCGAAAGTAACAACTCATACCCAACTCACACTGCACTCCTCATCGTTGTACATCTCATGCTGCCAGTGTAGCATCTGGGATACCGGGGAATCACATCTTGCGCAGGACTGTCTATTATAGGCGCGGTCTGATGCTGCTCGTGCGAGCGGTGCTTATTATGGGACCCAAGTACAGCTATTCCCTGTATTTGCTTTGCTTTTGCCTCGAACCGTGACGGCTCCTGCAAGCAATGCGAGACCTTCCAAATGGCCTCTACCAACGATCCGGGGACAGCCTTGTCGAGGAAGGATGCCTCGGGAGTCGAAAATGACTGGTATGCAGAGAGTCCACTTTGGTTTGGGCTGTGTCCTGCGCGCGGTTCAGGGATGGCAGTGCCGTTTACTTGTGCACCGCCATATCCTAGATATTAAAACGCAGAACTTCTGGATACAGGGCTCGGTCGAAGGGATGTCGCATCCTACTTCCCAAAGCAAATATGAACCTTAATCGACGAATATGGACAGAAAGACCCTGAATCCCCCCTACTTCACGCCGAACAATGTGGCTCATAAGGAGCACTTGACCGTATACCGCTGCCTATCCTCCAGGTGACCGGTGATCTCCCCACGTCCAAGAATGGAAGATGAGATGCTTATCGAACCCGTCGTCTATAGACGCTCGTGGAACGCACAGCCGCTACCGCTAGTAGTAGTGCACAGCCGGCTCACCGCCTCCTAGCCTTCCAATAGCTCTGAGACGGAGAATTCATACCATGTTCTACGGTATCCTTCGTAAGTGACCTATTTTTTAGAACTGTCCGGCCTCTTGCGCGAGGGGCTCGCTACAGGGATTTGCAGCAGTCTCCTCTCTACAACCGTATTGTCATGCGGGTTTGGGGGTTATTTCCCAGTGTCTTTCAATGTCGCCTCCTTGACTGGACCTCCGGGCGCTTCAAGGACTATTCTTGGTCTAGACACGCTGTAGAGACCACACTGCCTCCCCTCGTTCCTCCCCGATTGGAAGAACTGGCTTCTTCGAAGGTGGTAACATAGCCTCTATCCACCTGACAGCAATTGTTAGGGCATATAAGTGCTTGCGGTTCCTTCTGAGTCAGCTCACAGTCATCCGTTCCCAATCTCTTGTGTTTGTAGGTCTATTCCTCCATGAATCCCTTTGGCAACAGTACACAGGGTGGCGAGTTTTACGAAGCGGCAGATCCCTTCTTATTCCTGGGCGACCAAGAACGCGACAACCTCTGCAACTCGCCGTATATTGACGAGACTGTGGGCCAGGAATTCGCGGCAGCTATCGCCCATGACGAAGAACTTCCCTTGGCGTTCGTTCCGTCCTTTCCAGCACCTGTTTCAGGGAGTGGATACCATATGCCAAGCGACTACAGGTCGAATCATTTCGACCCCGGTCACTTTGTCTCAACATCGCCGGCAGTGGCCCAGGACAACACTTCTGGTCCTGCTCATTCTCTAAGTATCACCATATCATCAACGGATAAAGATATGGCTATCAACGGCTGGCGCTCTGGTAAGTATCTTCTGTTGTCGTCCATAACCACTCGCCTTATGCTCGAGCAGATGTCTATCAGTCAGCCAACATTTCATCTCCTGATATCAGGTTCAGCCCTCCAGAGAGCGACTTCCCTCCTAATTCGACTTTTTCCCCGAGCAGCCCTCACACAGATCCAGACTATTTCCTTTCTCCTACTTCCTCCACAGCCAGTTCTTCCCTGGCTGTCGGAATGCAAAATATGCATCTGGCCGACGAGGGATCCGGCGCCCCTATTACGAACTGTAGTCTTGGTGGCCAGAGACTGCTTCAGAGTGTGTCTTTGAGGGTGGATACCGAACCAAACAAAGATAGCAGTAATCTTGCGGGGATCTCTGCGTGGACGCATGGGGTCTATCCTGATCCTTCACCATCTTCGTCTCGACGCCCAACTCTAGGCCATCGGCATTCCATATCCGTTCCCAGCTCTCAGTACTTAGCGCCTCCTACGCAAATCATCAGGGGTAGGCACGGTCGCTCCCTGTCTCAAAGTTCTCCCCGCCCTGGGAGTAACTCGTCCTCTAGGCGTTCCTCTCCATATCCAAGTCCCCATTCTAGCCCTCGGCTGACACCTACCGGAGACGATGCCAATGATGCTTTAACCACGCCTTCGATCTATTCTTTAAATTCTCACTCTGCCGAATCCCTGACGAGTTCAGCATCCTCCGTCCCTCCTCCCACGGACGTGAGGAAGCCTCAAGTCACAAGCCAGGCAATAAAAGAAGCAAGTGAGATGCGGAGAACGAATGAAGCACGATTCCTGTGCGAGGTGCCTGGTTGTGGACAGTCCTTTACCAGAAGAAGCAATCTCCAAGGTGCCGTATCTTTCCCATCTCTGTGCACTGTAAGCTTGGTCTTAAATGAATGTATCGCAGGGCATTATACTGCACATTCCGGTGAAAAGCCGTTTGCATGCCAGCGCGACGGATGCGATAAATCCTTCGCTCGAGTGAGCGACCTTAGGAGGCACGAGAAGAAGGTCCACAACCTTCACTCGGACACATCCGTTTCCAGGCCGTGCTGAGTGACATTGTATCCAGTTTAGCCACCGCTGCGCCTGTCTGAAGAGGACAGGCGCTTGGATGGCTACTGCATACAATGTTACTTGTACACATAGCTAGCGCCGGCAGCAGTATGATCTCGCTCTATACCTATCGGATCGAGTAATGCCCTCATCTATCTTTTCTTGCCCTCGGCGATCCATTGTAATAACATATAGATTCCTCCCGACATTATACGAACGTTCATCTACCGTCTCTAGAAACTGAGATGGGCCCTTCTGCTCCTGTATAGTTAAGTTGCTCGTTCTACCATTACAATATTTACATGACGTGTTCAATATATCGCCCACCCGCAGTGTGAAGTGCCGCAGGCGTAGACGGTAAAGATGCCGGGTCCGTACAGCCTTCACTCAAGGTCGCCAACTCGTTCCTCGTTTCGGAAGTTCCAGAGCTGTGCAACGCGCTGAATGACGGAGAATGAATCAGTTCGATTCCTCCGCGCGACTGCTTTCATGAGACCCTTACAGTTCCGACCGCGCTATGGACATTGACAGCGGTACTGTCCTAATTTTAGTCAGTGCGTGGCTGTGAAGCTGAGCCTGATGCACCTCAAAGAGCATGTATATATATTCCCAGAGCAGACCGGCGATGGGCCTCGTTAGACGATGTCCCAACACCTTTACGCGCAACCATCTTACCAGACAGCTGCTGCCGGTGGTACTCAATGGCCTGAGATACTATCGGCGTTAACTGCACAAAAAATAGATGATGACAAGATCCTGGCACTATCTCCTCAAAGGTCATCATTATTCTTTTCTTCATCGTGCGGCGACTCACATGTCTTCATCACTATAGATGCCATTATAGGCAGGCAAATGCTGACACCCTGATATCGATGCAGGAAAACGCCGACGGCCTTGACAGTTCATCGCTTGGTCAGCCTGATGGGTACGACATCAGCGAAAGCAATGTTAGTGCGGAAGCAGATAATGCTACAGTGGACTGGTCCCATCGATTTCACGACAAAGCTGAAGAAATCACGGAGACCAGCATACGCATGCCATCGAATCACGCCCATATCGATAGGCAGCAGGTTTTTCCTTCGAATGTTCCCCTGCTATGCGACTCATTTCAGCAAGAGCTTCAATTGGGACCATCGACAAGTAGATATTCCGGGGAGGAAACGGGGGAAATCAGCACCATTGCCACGGACCCGATGCGTGACCCTACCTATGCGACGTATCGGGAGCGAAGCCTGCCACCTTCCTTCTCTACAGTCAATCAAGTCCCGAATAGGCTCATGAACTCTTACGGTATACAGTGCGACCGCGTGAATGCGTCAGTTACTGGCACAAGCGCGGGAGGATTCGAGGCGTCTTCACACCATATTCCTGCCACTTCCGCAATGTTTCCACCGCTTGAGGACGCAAAAACATACCTGCATCCAGATTCGGCTGATTTGAGGAGTATGGACCTTTCAAGGGGCTCAAGCACTGCCAGCAGGATGAGCAGGTCTCCTTACCGCAGGTGGGGATCCCCATACGACACTCCTATAACATCAAGAACAAGCTTTGACCAATCAAATGCCGAAACGAGCTCCTGCGTTCAGACAGATAATATGAAATCATCCCGAGTTGTTTATGAGCCCGTGGTGAAGCAAGAGGTCGGCACGAGCGCTATCAAGGCCGCGAGCTTTTTTCGGAGGAAGAATCCAGCCAAGTGGCTCTGCAATCTATGCGGATCTACTTTCACTAGAAGAAACAATCTGAAAGGTAGGCGATTTCGTAAGTATCCAGCGAAAGGGACCTCTTTCTCACTTCGTAATCCAGGCCATGTGGCATCTCATAAGGGAGAGCGAAGTCACCACTGCTCTTCAGACAATTGTACCAAGTCTTTCGCCAGGAAGAGCGATCTAAAGAGACATGTGAAGTTAGTACACAAGAACTAACCTCGTTACGTCGTGAAGGCGCTTGCTCTCCTACGTACACTCAAACCGACTCAGTCTACATTCCCGATACCCTTATATTCAAGGTGTTCCGATGTCTGTCCGTTTAGAGACACATGGGACTTCCACAATTAAAGACACCAGTAGACGTAATCGACATAATGAAGGCTCGAATTGCGACCGTTTGATCATGAGCTTCAGACTGATGAACGGCAATAACCGGCGACCCACGCCACCTTCGGAAGAAATAGGGGACTCATCAGTTCCCGCATTTTCCCTATTTTTCATAGCCATTCCTCATTTTCCCGAAGTGGGTTATTCCTCATCAGCATTTCTGAATTACAGCGACTCGACGCGTCTTCAGGCTGGATCAAGGCATTAGAGGTGAAACTGCATGCTTTTCTAACCGGAAGCTGGTAGACAAGGAGTTCAAAGGAGGGGACTTCCTCGCAGCTCTGTAAGTCGTCGCATTCTGACAGAGACTCAAAATATTCAGTTCTGTATCCGGGCATAGACCATAATGTCCCAACCACCGTTTTTACTGGTTCCACAAAGTAATCCGATACCAGACGGACAGGGTCAACGATCGCTGCCGTCTTTCCCTGTACCTTCATATTCAGGTGCCACATCATCGCTGGGTCAGGCTGGACAAAGCGGACAATCAGGACGAACAGCTGTCAAACCCACACACCCGTCTTCGGCCGTCTTCACTGCCCCTGCGCATAGGCATGCCCATCATCTCCATACGATACCACCTAGAGAAAAATCCACTCGCACTTTGATCATCGACCATATTCTGTGGGTTCATGCTCGTACTCGGTTCGCACAAGCACGGGCCGAACTCGGAATGACAGACCGATCAGGTGGGCCGGATTCGATCCATTACGTGCACCGTGAGAGACCCGAAAATTACGATGAGGAGGAAGAGGCCGAGAGCGATGGAGAAAGCATCGAAGTGCTCTTCACCAAGAAGAAGGGGCCTCCTACCCCGCCTCCCGTCATCGATCCGATTCTTATTGGTGGAGGTACTCTTGGGATGGCCTTCGGCGTTCCTCAGTCGCGGACCGAGCGAGAGGAGGAGGAGGAACGCGAGAGGCGCAAGCAAAAACAGGACCTACGGCTTGCCAAATCTCTCAAATTGCGAGCTGAAGGGTTAGAAAAGACTGTGACATCAATGCTCGATCAGCCGCCGCCAGTTCATCCGTTCCCGGACGACTTAATGACAGCCAAGCCATCTCGTTCTCGTATCCCGCACCCTCATACTCTACCTAATGGAGTGAGGCTGAGGCTCGCTTTGGCTACGCTCTATAACGACCTTTTCTCACGTGGTAGACCGCCACCTGCCGCTGCTAATGGAATGCCGGATGGTCTACCATATGTACTGGGACCGCTGTCTCGCGTCTCGTCGGTAGTTACGAATTCGGCAACGACAAATGGTGGCATAGTGTTTGCCAAACTCTGGTCAGACACCCAGACCGTGAGTACGCTGTCCTAACCCTGTTTTGTAAGTGGGTAAGATGACGTTCTCGTAGTCATATGAAGCTCCGCGTGCGTCCTCGATGGAACCCGACCATCGAGCAATGTCTCTGTACGCCACGGGCGCGCGTCCTCGCTTCACCAACACGACGTACACATACCCTCCTCCTTCCACCCGATGCTCGCGTCATCTCTACTCCGGCTGTCACATTTGCTTGGAGCTTACGACGCGCCCGGCCACAACGCGCTTTGGTTTCGCTCCAGGGCTAAGTTGCAGTCTAGTAAGAGCTGAATGGAAAGGTAAATATCGGGTGAAAAATGGTGTTGGCATGACGGACCTGGAGAAAGAGGAAAGCCTAGCCGAGGTTGTCGTGCGTTTTATAAGGCTCTCAGCTTTGGTAGCCATGGAGCTCGCGAGGGAGGTAGGGCACATTGGCGTCGATGAGGAAGAGAGTGGTGACGAGGGAGAGGATGGTGAGGGGCAAGGACAACCAGAGCAGAGCAAGAGCCCTGAAGGTGGTTCGGAGCCCACCCCATCCAGTAACCGAGGAACGTACGCCAGTTCGCCGTTTATTGTGACTCAATACACCGTCCCCGCCCCAGCGCTGAATAACAGGGTGCCTCCATCAAGCGCTTCGAATGCCTCTTCGTCGTCGCCGCGGGTTCCTGCGCTTCAGCCTACACGAGAGTGGTATATGTTGCTTGTAGGGCTATTAACTCGCGCCGCATTGGAGGGATACCTAGTGGGTGGCTGGGAAGGTTATAAAGCTGTGGAGTGCCTGTTCGGCGTTGGCTTGGGACTCTCACAGAACCAAGTTAACGGGAACGGGCACATCGTCAAAGATCCCAAGGAGGATGAAGAGGAGGAGGATGAAGAGCTTATGAAATTTGATCCGGATGATCTGCCGGAGCTTGTGGACGCTGCGAAGATCCTGTTTCCGTCGTTGAAGCATAAGGATGCCCAAGGAAGATCCCATCCTGAAGGTGCCGAGAAGGAGTATCACAACGAGATGAAGGAAAGGCAGAAGAAGGTATAACTAACGTTTTCATCTATCTACGTATCGGACAGCTCTCTCATCTGTCGTGGCAGTTCTTTGACATTCCAGAGGATGTGGTCGATCTTTCCAGTCACCTTGAGGAGCTGGCTTCCATCTATCCAGCGGAGCCTGTGGAGAGAGCCGCTCTAAGGTACTACGAAGCCATAGCCAAATGGAGAGGAAAGCCGGAGCTGGAAACGGTGAGTAATACCCTTACATCTCATATGTGGTCACAGCGGCTGGTGAGATGCACCGCTCATATTGCTCATGCACTAGTATAAGAAACGGCCTCCGAGAACGTGGACGAATCCCGAAGCGTCGCCACGCTCGGTCATGGAATCCTTTCTACGCTCGAATCCCACGAGTCCCGCTTCCGTAAACAATGACAATTCTACCAAGTCGCGGAAGCAGCCCATCGAGCGATACTTCACTTCACCGACCGTGGGGGGTAGACGAAAAAGGGGGCGATCTCGCTCGCCGTTAGCTGATGGTGTCAGTGGGTTCGGGAAGCGGGGCAGGCTCGACGGGTTTTCGCTGGGTGGCATGTCGTCGTTCCTTGCTTGATCTAATGCTCTCGTCTCCATAACTTATTACTCCGCCGGATACTGTGTATTATAGTGTATTGCATCGGCATGAATGGGTCAAGAGCTTTTCGTTGATATATGTCGGACAGAAATCTCGTTGAACGGCATCCCGCCGGTGTGTCAGAAGTCCAACACTGGGTGCAAAATCGAAGGGTGCGGGCTTGTGGTGAGTCTGAATGGGTCTTTGCTACATTCACAGCTGGGACATCATAAACACAGGAAGTAAGTGGAACTACAGAATGCAACGACTGTCTAATGGAGCAAATACATACACACATGGATGTGCGTCGAAGTGCCTATATTCCTATACAAAATGCGGTCACTGGGCGATCATGCACATGCACAAGAGGAGCGACAGTAACGCCGCAGTCCACTTGCTTTCCCTGATACCCCCAGAAGCGTTGTATTTCTTGAGAGACGCCTTCAGCCTATCATTCAAGAGGACTGTATCGATGACATGCACTACGCCGTTAGCGGTCAAGACGTCTGACGTGACGATCTTCGCGGTGTTCCCGCCTGGCAGGGATACGGAGTTGCCGTTGAACGAGAGGCTCTGGCCTGCCATGTTGAACTGGGCGGCCCCCAAGGATGTTGAGTAGAAGGTGCCGTTGAGGACCTGAGAGGAGTCAAGTTAGTAAGAGCGCGTGGGAGGTGTTGATGATGAGTGGGAATTACTGACGTGACTACTGAGTACACCAGCTAGTTGTGTGGTGTTGAGCCGGCTCAGCGTAGCATTGGCGTTGGCAAATGCGGTATCTGAGACCATACGCAGTTAGTGGTAGCTCTGGTATGTCTGATGCACTGGATTGACCGGTTGGTACCAACACGGTGACACCGTGTTGCCCCGTGAGGGTGTCGAGAACATTAGACGTGCTGGCGCTACTCTGAAACGTGGTTATGTTCTGGGACTTCAGAGTATCCGTCAGCCCTACTGGGACGGAAAGCAGATCGTTTATCACTGCATATCCGTAGGAAGTGTCGGTTAAAGGTATGTGGAGTGCGTCAGTCTTGTTGATTACGATGTCTGACCTGCGATGTAACAGTCAGCTCGAAGTACTGGTGCTCATGCTGGCGACGCACGATTGATTCGGGATGTGAATCTTCGCGTCGGCCACGACCGTCATAACCAGTGTCTGCGCGCTGCCGCCTTGCAGGAAGACGGTGGCATTATCCTTCATCAGGAAAACCCTCCCAAGCTAATTAGACATAATGCATACCGGATTAGACATAATGCAGCTTACTATAATAACAGTCAATAAGATTGCATGATGTTGCATAATATTTGCATAAATTTGCATGACAATGTGGTTGTGATTCATATTTTCCATTGTCAGTAGTCCCACATCTCAACCACAGCTACATGAGGTTAGGGTTGTCTGTAGAATACAGACGGAAAAAGACTGAGACTGACACAGTAGCAATCGGGAATAAGACGACAAGCAGTGTGACCACGCTGTGACACAGTCCTCGAAATGCCACACCAGGGGCAATCGCGTTACCCGGGCATCACATAGTATATCTGTGCCATGTAAGTAAGCTACAACAGTGTGACAAAGGTATGTCTGTCTAAGAAAGGATTAACAAAGAAGGCAGGAGCTGAATCCAAGACGGTACTACTTGACCACTCCCGAGGAGCCACGGGACCCCACTTTGGGAAGAGATGTACACTGCGCTCGATCTGACAGACCGGAATGACACTGGCTAAACGCTCCCCATTCTGTATAGAACGTGAGACCTTATACATACCTGAATTTGCATCCGGAGTCATTGAAAATGCTGTAAACCACTCAACATATGCTAGGTGGCCTGGCGGCGGCCGCTTGAATAAAGTTGCAACTGCTCGAGGCGGTATGGAGAACACAACGCGGACCTGAGCAACGCGATAGCCTGAATGCGACTCAATATGGTCCCCTTAAGATAGTTATGAATACCTGACTCACCTTGCAAGCCAATAGTCCCGCTCCCCATATTTACAAGTACCGTGTCGAACCGAGGCGGAACTGCACGGTCGCGTGAATCCTGACGTGCCGGTCGTACATGTACAGCATCCGCTGAATCTAGTAGCGACTTGCGCCCGAAGGGGTCTGTGTTCCAGAACTTGATCTTGTGATAGACGG